CCCATGAAGACACGAGCAAAGTTAGGTGTGAGGAGCTGCCGCCAAAGGCCATGATGGGAACAAACCTTATTAAAGCTAAAATTTGTGGGGTTTGGTTTTTTTTTTCCTATTGCACAGAATCACAGAATGGGTCAGGTTGGAAGGGACCACAGTGGGTTACCTGGTCCAACCTCCCTGCTCAAGCATCCCAGACTGCATCCAGATGGTTCTGGAATATCTCCATTGAGGGAGACTCCCCAACGCCTCTGGACAATCTGTTCCAAGTGTTCAGTCACCTACACAGTAAAGGAGTTCTTCCCCATATTCAGGTGGAACTTCCTGTGCATTGGTTTCTGCCCACCAGCAGAAATCTGTATTTACAATACAGATACACTCTTTATTTTAATAGAATCATGATAATACAGGTGTGTTGGAAGTGAAAAGCTGAGGGCTCTGAAGATAATAATGCAGCTATGTTTCCCACACACTCAGGGAGCTGAAATAGCTTGGTTTTCTATGAAGGCAGGTAGAACAGGTGGGTGGAAGAGCAAACACTGGAAATGCTGAGAAAACAGCAGTGAGAAAAAAAATACCATGCCAAACCTACTAGCTTTCACAGATCTCAGTTACTACTCAGGCTGAACTTTATATTGCTGTGCAGGAACCTGTTAACGCTCATAACCTGAGGGTCTCACACAAATCTCAATGTATATTCTGTGTGCCATCACAGCAGACACAGGCTTTGTTGCGTTAGTTGTGTCCCACTGGACTTGAGGAGCAAGTATTCTGCGAGGTCTCACTGCTGGCACCACTACTGCTAGTTTCCAGTCCACTTGGGGACTGGAAGCTAGCAGTTTCCAGGTTTCTTTCAGGACCACCCAAAGAACAGTTAAGTTACCCACAGCTTTTGCATGCTCCCCTTGCTCTGTTTTTGAGTTGAAACAGCTGCTCAAGTAATCCTCCTGGCTGAGGTCTTAAAAAAGAGATTTAAGCTAAAGTAAATGCTATAGGGAAACCCTTTATATAGACTCCCTTATAGAGAAGAATAAGGAAGGGAAGGCAAAGGCATACTTACAGGATTGACATGATTTTACTTCCTTGCTTAATAACAGTTTGGTGTCTTTTTTCCACCTAAACACTTCTCTATTCAAAGAAATTATTACCTGGCTCAATATCACGCTTGCTTCTCTCAGTGCCTGCTGGTTTGTTGTTTGTGAAGATGTGATTTGCCCTTGGAGTTGAGGACTGGATACAAGCTGCTGCTGAGAAATGGCCTCTGACCTCTGCTGTAGCTGTTGTGGGTCCAGCTGCTGAGTATTGCTAAAGCTCAGGGACACTGTTGGCTGCTGTAAGAACATCTGGAAAAGAAGAGGGGAGGTTTTTTTACATATCCCAGCTGTCTTGAATAATGAAAGTGACAGAATTAAATCCAGAAATATATTATAAAATAAAGTTAGCACATTTCTGGATTCATTATGCAATTACTGTTAGTTGGAAATCACCTCTCATTCCTGCATTAGGAGTTTTGCTGTCTAGTTTCTTCATTTCTTGTTCTGCAAGTGCACCCATTACTAGTGAAATGTGTCCTGAAGGTAAAAGTTCTCTCTCCGTGGGGCAGGCACAGCCCTCGGAAGAGCGGTTCCCAGTACATTCACTGTGTTCTGGGGCATCCTGACCAAAGAGTAACTCCATGTCTTTTCAGTCCTTTTCTTTTTCCTTTCAACAGTAATCTGCCTGCCTTTCAGACAGGACTGCTTTTGAATTTGTCTCTGGAAATTCAACACCTGACATCCAGCTGAGTCTTCAAATGTTTTTAATGAGGCCACAGTCAAGCCAGAGCTCTCCATGCTGAATGGCTGTGTCCTTATCATTGAGAGGATGTGTAAACAGACAGTCGCTGTCATTTATCTGATTTCCCATCAGGTAACTGTCGCCTGGTGTTCTTCCTAACTGTGCCATGCATTTGACTTGTGCAAAAGAGCTAGCCCTTCCTCTGTTAGAGTTTCTGTAAATGATGTTCTCTTTTTTCCTGCATTGCAAGATGAGGCTTTCTTCTTTAAAAGTTATAGGACTTGGGAATTTTTGCTTTTCTAGAGGCTATTTCTTTTATTATAACTGCAAAGAGGAAAAAGTAATCTTTTAAAACTATGCATTATTAATGCTACAAGCCCTCTTTGCAGTATTTTAAACCTAGCCTCCTGCCACCAAGGACTGTATGGAGATACAGCTGAAGTTCCCATGCAGTTGAAGTCATTTTTGGAGCTGACTCTGATTCCATGCAACTGTTACGTTCATGGAACTCCATTAATTTAAGTGGAGCTACTTAGGTTTTAAATGAAATGAGAATCACAATTACTCTCTTCATTATTCATCCATCAGCCTCATGCGTAGCAGTATGTCTGAGGTACACCCAGTAATTAGTACACCTTTCTGCAGCTTATTGCTATATTAACAATTCCCTAAACTATCACGTCCCTCTAATTTTTCTTGGAAAAAGCCCATACCTTTCTCCAAAGGCCTGGCACAATGCACTGCTTTTCTCTGCGTAAGTGTGGCTTGACCCATCATGTTTGTACTTATTTATCTAGCTTTTAAAACACATTTTTTATTTAAATATGATAAATTTTTAATGAATTTCTGTGTGCCAAGATTTTACTCAGAAAAAAGGTACAAACTTACATTAATCAGCTGGGGGGGGGGGCAATTAAGGAAAAGCAACAGCTTGTTTCAGGTGCTGTAGGCTAACCACATCTCAAAGATGTCTGATAGAAATAAATGGGTCAAGTGACAGAGCTGAGGCTGCTCAAAGCAGGTCTGAAACTAGCTCCGAGTGTTTTATTTTAAAAAACACTGTTCACTGAGTTTGGAGCCATTACATATCAGAAAGACAGATGGTCTCACAAGTTCTGCCAAGTAAATAGGTCTTATTATGAATAAATCAAAGACAGAAATTATGAAAATTCATTTTCTTGTTTACTTTCTGTACATAGAAGCTAAGCTTTAGACATGTTTAGTAAATGAAGTCACTTGATTAGCTCTAGCAATGAAATTGGTCACCACTGATACAAAATTTGATATAAAGAATTTGACATAAAATTCAGAACAGGTGAAGCAAGTAGTGCATTTCAAAAATGTCAGAGGGACTGGGGGCCCAGTGGTACTGGACAGATCACTGCAAATTAAGACCTTTAGGACGATTAGTTTAGTGTCTTCCCTGTTCGTGGCACACAATACCAGAAAAATACTAAGTTCACCCAATATAAAGTCAACATCTATCAAGGTGAATGTCAAGCAGGCTGTGAACTTGCAGCAAACTACTTACTTAGCAGGGGCCTCCCTGTGTGCATGCCTCACTTCAAGATGAAGGCCAAGGAGCTTATCCTCGAAAGAAAGCAGAGTAACCTACTTTGCAATTACCAGAGTTTGTCACTGGGTAGGAATGTGCACTGTAAATGGTTGGCAGCTAACGTGCTATAAATTTAGAATCAAGTTTATCCCAGTAAACCCATTTCATTTGTTCACGTGTTCGTACCTTGAGAGGGCTCCGAGTGGTTCATACCTAGGGACTCTCTGTTGCCATTATAATGGCCAAAGCAGCATTGTTACCCTCTGAACATAAATGATCTAGAAAAAATTAAGCTCAGAGCAGGAAGCAATGGTGACTGTGTCCCTGCAGAACTGAAGACTCAAGATGCCTTATCAAAACAAGAGTTAATCTGAGAGAGGATCAAAGCGTGGAATTCCTACCTGCTAGTTAAACCTAAAAGCTTAATTTGTACAAAACCTAATGGTGTTTTTTCATAATGTGCCTCTTTTATGATAGTCCTGCCTGAATTCCCCTGAAACACTGAAATATGGCAGCTTTAAATAACAGCAGAAACCTCCTAATAAAAAATGAATTCTTTCCCAGTCTAAGTATATAAATTAGCAGCCTCCTAACTGTACTGCTGCTAATGACACGTCTTGTTGGTGATTTTGTAGACTGCAAGGTCAGTGAAGCATCTTACAAATATTTTTTAATTGGCCAGATTGTTAACATACACAGCAAAGCAGCGAGGGAAGGGAGAGACCCTCTGACACTGCTGCCCCTTCATTCCAGGACAGATGGTCCCTACAGCTAATGGGTGAATCACACTGACAAGAATCATGAGGAAGACATCTCTTTGACTCTACCTGTCGTTTGAATAATCAGGGGATTATAACTTTTGGGCTCATCCTTACAGGCATCAAGACTCTTTATGTAAAATATGTAAAGATGAGAAGCACAGCACTGGGAAGCTGAGATTCACTGACTTCGAAGGGAGCCCGATTTGCAAATGACGGGTAGCTGTGGACAGTCTCGACTGTAGTTCTTGCAAGCTGGTGAGGCTCAGCCCTTCTGCCTTCCTCCCTATCTACAAATCATTAGCTAGACTGTTCAGTTCTGGAGCAGACACAGCATCCTTCAGACTTCTGAGGTTACTCTTGCTGCTCTTGTCCCGTTTGTCAGGAAAAGCAGTAACAAGGATTTAATGGGGTTTTGAACACCTTTATTCAGGGCCTGTAACCCTCCCAATGGTTTAATCTTTCACTGCACAAGGCTCTTGCAAATAGTTTCTAATGCAGACTACCGTGCTTAACATCTGTCCATCTGGGAAAGCATTTCCTGGTGGACTGCTGTACTGCAGTTTTGAAGATCTTTGAAGGAAATGAAAATCGGGCTTAATTCTCCACAGAGCTACCTATACACTTCTGTGAGGAATGGAATGAACCGGTGGGGATGATATGCTAATAAATCAGCTAATGAGGGAAAAGCAGGGAACACTTCCCCCTTTTCAGACAGCCTTCGGCACTCCCCCATGCTTACAGCTGTTCTTCACAGAGTATTAAAGAGACCAGAAACGTGCTTGATAGTAACGCTCACCTGTTTGCTACTATGCTTTGTAGCTCTGATAATAGACACAGATCAATGTCTGCAGACATCCAGCTCCCTGAATGATGAAATCTGTGTGGCAAAGCACATGGTTGAATTTCTGATTTAACAGTTTACTTCTTGCTGCTTATGAGTCACAAAAGAGCTGCATGCAGAAGTATAAGGCTTTCTTTGAAATCAGAAAGTAATAGGCAAGTAAAACAAAACTAATTCCTGGTCTCAATCTATCCCTGCAACAGCACAGTAATTTCTTTGTATGTTTTTTGTTTTTTTACTTAGAGAAAGTGGGAGAAGAAAAAGGCCTGGCCAGGAGTCAGTGTGACTGCTCACATCTCATTGCCTTATTTGTTTGCTCTAAGGAGACCAAAAGGCACCTAAAACACAGAGGATGACCCGCCCCATCCAGCACTGCCCCTTCAGGCAGATATGCAGGCCCTGCATTTCCAAGCTGCCATCTGTTCTCCCTGCCTCTCACTTCTGCATCTGCAGTAAGCTGGGAAATGGTTGGTACTGACGCCAGAGAACTTGCAATGGTCTGAAAATACTTGGTCCAACAGTCTTCATGAGAGAGGGGATCACCAAAATGGTATCACTCAGAGCAACAAATTGGTATGGGGTGGGCAGGACAGAACTACCCACCATTTACCCACTGTGCCTCCTCTTCTCTCTGCTTGAGCTTCCTCTGAGCACATCTGAGAATCTGTCCCATGGTCTTTGGGTTGTTAAATGCCCCCTAGTGCATATAGGAGACAATTTTCTAAAAATAAAATCTGTTTCCTGCATATAAGGATGTGCCCTAATCTTCTACTTTTGCCTCAGTTATAAAAAAAAAAAAAAAAAGAGTGTATATGACTATTGAAGACTTCACCAGGAGACAGTAATGGTTGTCACCCAATTAAAAAGAGAGGAAGTGAGAATATGACATCTCTTGATACTCATAATAGCAATAATAGCTTTCAGACATAAGACATGATTCTGAACTGAAGGCCACTTAATTGCACAGAGACTTTCCCTTCCCATTAATCAAAGTCAGTAGAGAATCAATAGAAGAAATGCACTGAAGCTAAACCTGGTCTACCTATATGCTTATATGGCACCAGGAACAGGGAATCCTGGGTTTGGGACCCACAGTTGCACTGTCTTACAACAGTGCACATGCAGCAATTTAGGTGGTGGCAAGGTTTCTAATTTGGCTTCACGGATCCCTTAATTGCCTAAACATACAATCCCAATTTGTTTTAATATGTGAAACTGCATTTCACAGATGCTGATGATGGGTGAGAGTCTATTTCTGTGTGGAAGTCACAAGCAGAATTCCTGCTGACTTGAGTAGTTCCCAGGTTTTCATCCTGTGCTTAAAACGTTCTTTGAGATGTTCGTTTCTGTGACAGAGCTTGTCTTCTATAATAATCTTGCTAGTATAATACTCACAGAGGGTGCCCAATGCAACATTTCTAACAAGGGTCATTTAATCTGGCATTTATAGTTAAATTATGAGGAACATAGCAGTAATCACCCCACATTCAGAAAACTTCCATAAAATTGCATGATTGGTCTATTTGTTGTTAAGGGAAATCTGTGATGTACTAAACTGCTATTATTTCTGAGGTTTGGTATACATAAGGGGTAGTAAAAAGCAGATACTGTACTAGAGAATTCTAGCTCTGTGTAGGAAGTATCAAAGCCAGAAGAAGAGCAGCCTCAGTCAGATTTGCCCTAAAGGCTTAAGCTGGTCCAGTGAAGAACAAACTCCGACATCTCCCAGGTGTGAACAAAGGAACATCAGCAGAGGTTCAGGGGTTTTAACATGACAAGGAAATTAATCTCTTGTGCTCTCTACCTGAGCCAGGCTGGGTCAGGAAAACAGGGAGCGACTGTAAGAGATGAACACTATTTGGAGGAATAGCTGGACAGGGAAGATCCTGAGCATAAGTGATGTCAACATGAAGCAAGCAGTGACTGGATGGAAGCTAATGAATCAGAGACATGATCATTGGCAAGTCTGAAACTGAACATTTTTCTACTACAGTTGCTCGGTCTGAAGACTCAATAGATAAAGTAATAAAATGCTACTGTAAGTGACCCAAATTATTCTCCTCCTCTTATGGTTGAGGTCTTTCTTCCTTCTCTTCTTCCAGAGAGCTCTTAAATCTTTCTTGACATAGGTTATTCAAGAGGCTTTCAGAGGGCAACATCCTCATTCAGATGAGCTGGTTTCCACTTGTCCAGATTTCCTGGACTCTGAAGCAATTATAAGCTGCCAACTGTATCAATGGCCATGTGAGAGAGGATGCTTGACTCTGCCCCTTCCAGCAGTTACACACCTGTACGCTGGAGTCTTGGACCAGGCAGAGCTGCTCCTGGATCTTCTGGAGCTCCTCCTGCTGCCACCGGATGTTGGCCTGCAGGATCCGTGTCCGCTGCTCTAGTTGGTCCTTGATTGTCTGGAACATGCTGAACTGTGCTGAGAACTGAAAGAAAAAAAAGGGGGAAAAATCAGTCATTATAACACAAACAGGCCTCAACAGAACACTGTTCTCGATGAAGGTATTGGTTTCTTGATTGTAAAGCACAGCCACAGAATAAAAAAAATATTTGTGATATACTAACATCTAGGCAGAGATAAGTCTTGTCTACTTTCAATTTTATGCACATATATTATATTGCCTCAGTTAGAATGATCTGCTTACAACTGACCCTGTTCTGTTACAAGAACTGCTTTTGAGAGTATGCTACTTTAAAATATCAAGAGCATCTTAATTGGATGGCAAGTTAGTGCATTATTTTTATTAGCTTGTAGTCTGGAGCCCTTAGTTTGGCATAACTGTTTATTCCAGATGTGTTTCACTAATGCTTTTCTTTTTCTGCACAGAAATAGTAGTTCTTCAATGGTTTATTCTGTTGATGACTTAGTAAGGCATCACATAACAGACCACAATAAGCATTTTCTACATTTGTACACCTGAGTATAGTACTCAAGCTACAAGAAATACTCATTAAGTTATTTTTATATGTGATGTAAAATGAATAGCTCAGCTCAGTGGGAGAAAGGCTGTTCTAAGTAATAGTATAAAATAGAGATCACTAATCAAGGTCAAGAAGGAAGTGCAACTCCCAATAGCAGCAATACCTGGCACAAACTGGAATTATTCAAGAACTGTGGAGGGGACTAACACAGCAATAAATTCCTATTTTATTTGGTGTTTTCAGGTATAACTCAAAGTTAAACAAAGTTAATTATAACCTTAAGAGGCTTTGGAATAATTGCTTTGCATGAGCTCATATTCCAAAAGAAAAAAAAATAGTCTTTGAAAAAATAAAAAAGAACAACTTCAAAAAATCTGTAAGCTTTTCCGTAATCAAGACATCCAAAATCTATCTGAAAACGTGTGATGCTGGGAGTGTCCAGGCAAAAGAAATATAATAATTTTGATGTGACTTGAAAATGGTGCCCTGTTCCTGTAGTTGTTCCACTGGCTCTGTGCTAGTTGGTGAACTGATGCATGCTGCTGGAACCTTTCTGCTCCATGGTGCATTGGCTTACACTGTTTCTGGCTTTTTAATAGGAAAACAAAAATGGAAACAAGATGGGAATTAAGGAGTACTTTGGTGATAGCAACACTGTACAGTTAAACGAAATTTTTGGCTACTGAGAGAAATCTAAATGTGACAGGTCAGATTTGTATCAGCTAACTACTTCACCTTAAACCAGTAAAATATGTGAAAGTACCTTTATATTCCCTCTAGCAAAGCTGAAATCTCCAAGTAAATGGCCCTTAGGAGAGGAAGAATGAGAATTTCAGACAGTTTACTTCTATTTACCAGGCAGAGAGTAGCTTTTCCACACAATCTGTGAGGTGTCAGGGTGGAGGTGAGTTTCATGGCCAACCCTGTATAGGGGGAATGAGGGCTGCTAAGGTGGCCCCTGCAGTTGCTGCTGGCAGAGGCCCTCATAGCCCACTTTGCTGCCAGAGGTACCTGTGAGTACTCGCAGCTTGCACTGTCTGCCCAAGGAGGGACGTGAGCCCTGGGCCTGTGCTGTGATTCACGATGCTTTTGCCTTCAAACAGCAGTGTCATCATGTGCAACCCAGTCCTCTCCCAGGGCAGAAAAACAGAGTCAAAGCTCACAAAGGGAAGTTTACGTTACTTGTAATTGGAGTTAAAGGGGAGAAGCCATAGCAGGGTCTCTCTAGTCTATGTATAAAGTATTAACCCAAGGAATGCTTGAGGCAAAACTTCAGATGTTTGGGAATAAGGACAAATGACTAAAAGGGGCATCTGGTGCTGCTTGTTGCAGCCCGACCCCATGTTTCTGAAAAGTCCCAGGTACTCTGATTTTAGGAGTGGAATGATGCTATGTAGCAATGACTTGCTTAGATGAGATGCAGCTAATTGCTGCTTTAACCTGGGTCTGTATAGAAGGATTTTAGTGAGGACTGACTACTCACAATTAAAAGGATACTTGTCAGACAGGAATTAAAAACAGTTGCAGCCAAAAACTTCATTTTAACTGCCTGGCTTGCTGATGACAGTCTTTTCATTAATGTGCAAACTCCTTGAAGACACTTTGGGAAAGGAACCTGATTTTCTTCAATTGATAAACATTAAGGAATTTTGTAACAGGTAATTTTATAATCATTTTATACTTCAACAAGAAATGAAATCCATTTCCAAGCCTTACTTTTAAATTTGAATTTGCTTTGCAAAGTTGCACACAAGAATATATTGCTGTTGATTTTAAATTATTATTCCTTCATTTTTGGGGTCAGGTTCTTATATTTAGCATATTCATCTTATACGTTCTTTTTGTTCTCTTTTTCACATGCTTTTTGTATTAATACACTTAACAACAACAATTAGCTGGTATACTGGAGTGAAAGCCATTACAGAAGAAGACAAGGAACTTTCTTTTTTGCTTTTTTCCCTTTCCCACTCCAACCCCCAAATTGTTGATAACTCTAGCCATGACCCCTTGTGCTTACAGAGCTTCTACTGTTTTTGTACAATGAGACACTAACAGCAATTGACCTGCACCAGAGAGTATTTATCTCAAGATCATTAACCGCTCTACTAATTAAGGGAAGAATCTGTAATTGTATAATAAATTAAAAGAGCTTAACTCAAAATGTTCCACAGAAAACACTGCCCAGCTTTAACTCTGCCATTGGCATCAGATGAAGTTGCTCTTCATCTCACTTAGGTATTTACAAATGTTCACAGAATCCTCAGAAAAGTGCATGTAATACACAGAAAAGTGCCATCTTTCCAGATAAAGTCAAACATGGAAGACTAAACCTCTGAGATGTCTATAATTGCAACAGTTTAATCAAGGTTTGTTAATGCAGAAAAAAACCCCAAACCCCCCACCAACCAAAAGCCACAGCAGTAATTTTAGTGTGATTTCTTAGAAAAAAAAAGAAATAAAGCCATGCATTTGGGATCCTATCAGCAGATGTTCTGATAGGAATGGGCTTGATGCACTCGTGCTGCTGATGGTCCACACAGGCTGTACAGGCTGGGGAAAGGGACTGGCACTTCTGGGCTGTGACTCCTCTCCTCCAGCATGGGCATCTGAAAGATACCAGCTGGACCAGGCCTGAAGAGAGGTGTTTCTCTCCATTGGGTGCCACCCCAGGCTGCCAGGGTTACTCCCTCTCTCTAGGTGCTGGGGAACTGCAGCCAGGGAAGGGGACCTATGGCCCCAGTGTCTGTCAGGATGGTCCCTCATTTCAGATGCGATGAACAAGAAGATGGACACCTCAAAGACATTCTGTTCCCACAAGTTTCATGACAATAGGTAGCTGGGTAAAGAAAAGAGACCCTATTTGTTTTTTAGCTCAGTTTCCTTTAAATCTTTCTTTTCTGCCTACCTTCCAACTTTCTTTCAATCCTTCTGGCCCAGGAGATGAGCTGTATTTCTTGCCAGAGACATGCAACAGAGTTGCATACCAGACTTCATGAAAGCTTTAGCTAAGCAAGGGAGAGAGGGATCCACTTGTCCCCTCCTCCTGCCGGAAAGGCTGGCTCCATGCACCAGCCTTGCAAGGCACAACCCCTTGGGAAACTGGGTTTCATTAGTTTTGCAGTTTACCGAACAACTTGTTCGTTCTTTCTGTCATCTGAATAACACCTGCTCAATCCCAAATGGATTATTAGTGTTAATTATTATTCAGTCATCAACATCCGCTGTGTTGTAGGGGATTTTAATTTATGACAATGAGAAAGGCAAACAAACAGATATTCTAATAGGGAGCACTTGGTTTAAAGTAAACCATTCACATTCAGGTGGCATCTAGCACTGTGCTGTCTGTTCATTCACACAAGCAAGGCAGAAGCTAAAATGGCATTTCATTGGAGACAAAACCATCACAGCCTTTGCTCGAAATAAAACTAATCAAAGTTCAAGCAGATGTTGCCTGAGGCAGCAGCTAGCTGCTTGCTGCAGATGCAGTTGTGGCCACTTAAAATGTTTGTCTTCGCTGCTGCCACTCTTTAGTCAAATGTTAGCTGCAAGGACACCAGGCTCCCTGTGTGGCCAGGCTGGGCACGCTGCCTTTCAGCTCCTGCCATGAGTCACCCTTAGCTAAAGGCAAGAGGCAGAAAGGCACCAGGGAGCAACCTGCGCAGCTCCTCCTTGTGGGCTGGCAGTGGGGCACCTGGCCATGCTACTTCTACAGGCAATGAGCCTGCTGAGGTGTTTAAACTGCTGTGAAATGGTCAACTAGGAAGCCGAGCAAATGTTCACGGTGAGAAGCATGTGTACCTGCGTTTCATCCCTCACTCGTCTAGTGCTGCAGGCACCTTGTCTTTTAAATAATTAATTATCTTGCTGCAGGCTGACATGTTAATTATTTTAAAGTGTGAAGTACAGAGTACTCTCATAATTTTCATGATAGTTTATGAAAATCTCCCAAGTGTGTGGAGATCTGGTACTCTTCGCAGGAGTATCACTATGGAGTGTGAGCATTAGCAACCCGAGCTGCAATGTCCTGGTGTTATTTCCCTGCTCCACATCAAGCTTCATTTTGAGCTTCGCCAGTAGCACTGCTGTGACTTTGCTGACAATTGAAAAGAAGGCTGCCAGAGGGCTGCCTGTGTAGGCAGACTTGATCAGCCCTCTTCCTTTCACCAAGATTTAGCTGGCCCAAAGAGACTTAACCAGTGACCGGATGGTGCTCCAATTTGGCGGAAAAGAAATGGAGCTGGTGTGCCAGTAAGAGTATTTTACAGGGAAGAAACAGGTCAGCGAATGTCTTGGTAAATGACTGGAAAGCTTCTTTTCACAAAGAGCTTTGATGAGGAAGAAAGGGGGGTAGAAAAAAGTCAAACAATTCACATACAGGTTTATAATACATAAACTAATTGATGTTTGAAAGTGCATTAATGAATAACGGAGAGAAGTATCTGTAAAAGAAAATGAATGCTCAGAGCAGATAATTGACATGCTGTTTCTTTGCTGCACGCTAGCATGGAGTCATGAAAAGAATATTAAACATAGAAGATAAATGAGAATTTGTTATTTTAAAGCCAGGATCCTCAGGACTTTATATGTTTTATATGCTACAGGAAGAAACTCTGGGATCATGTGAGGGAGTACAGGGTGCCAGTGGTAGAAGCAGTCTAGGTCCAGGAATACTCTGCCATTCCTAAAATCAGAGAATGATGGGGTATACCATCACAGCAGCACCACAGGAGAAAAACAATGTGTGGAGAACATGGTACTCAAATTTGCTTCAATATCCTTTGCAAATGAAATACTGAGGTGACTTTTTGGGCAATCAACCACTTTTGAGATATGGATTAATAGATTGAAGGAATTTGAACTTTATCTCCATCCTCACCATTACTGGCACACTCACAAAATGGGTGTTGTTGAACTTGCGTATCCTTTACTGCTTGTTAGTTCTGCATCAGCACAGCCAAATAGGTGTTTTTAGGAGGACTGTGTGTCTTTTTTAGTTTCAATTCTCATTGTAGTATTGATCTTGATGGGACCTGGTTCTGTAAAAGCAAAGCTGAAAACTCTTTTTCCATCTGTTTTTCGTTCTCCTGTGAAATAGATGTATGTGTGCACCTGAATCTACATGCACCTGGGCTTCTGAACACCTGCACGCAGTTATATGTTTAAACACGCAAGTGTACAACTCAGATCACTTTCCCACAATATTTTACGTGTTTGAGAGCTGGTGGATTTGGGGATTTTAGTTCCTAGAGAGGTAACCTAAAAGCCCCAAAATGAGAAAATATCAGGAGATAAGCAAGTGACCTATTCCACTTCCAAATCCCCAACTAACCTGTGCCAGAGGTGCAGGCTGATTTTGCAGAGTTGCTTGAGGCAGCAACTGCTGTGGGAGAAGCTCACATGGAGGCTGAGAAGGCAAAGAAACCTAGATTAAAAACAAAACAAACCAAAACTTTATTTATAAGTTTGGCTCCTTTAAATTTTAGGTTTCTTCTAATGCCATGGCTTTTGTGTAAGTAATTTTTAATTGCTAAGCTGCATATGTGGCACATGCTGTATACCCTCTGCCTATTTCTGTCATTCCTTGGGAAGTTACCTGAAGAGCAGTAGGTTGACTGAGTCTATGCAGAGATAGATCCTGCTGCGCGCTTGGTGTTCTTGGCAAGGGAGTGTTAGACTCTGCAATCAGCTTTGTTGGTGTAGCTGCAAGAAAAGTACTGGTGAGTTCTCACACGCTGGAAATCAACCCTCTTTGAAGTGGTTATTATGACAAGACCTAGGTAGAAATTATTACAGCCTCACTAAATTTCAGTGGGAGTCAAGGCTGTTCTTGTTGACTTAAATGGCAGTAAAATTAAACTGATAAGGAGGGTCTCGGCAAAGATAAAAGTAAATGAGACAGATTATGATTTTGTGCTCCAACGAACAGAGCAAAAGGACCCAGGAACTGTTCTAAAACAGCTGGAACTCCCTTTATATGGGCCAAATAACTGCAAATTTAGGTTAGCTCACTGGCTTTTCTTTCAGACCAGGGAGCAGAAAGAGTATACCCAAGTCAACACTGAAGCATCCTGAACCTTGGCCAGAAAAGAATCACCCACAGGCCGTTATTACTCATGTAAGTCTAAAGAGGTCTCATATTGTTCATACTGATGCCCTCAAATCTGAAGACAGAAGTCCTCATTTTTGTAACAGATTGAAGCAGCAGGTCTCACTGCTAATCCCACTACTCATTTCCCAGCACTTAGGTGGCTGCACTACAACCTTTCCTCTTGTATGTTACCATTTCAGATTATGCACTTCATTGTCAGTGCATATCATTGATAACTCATAAATAACTGTTAAATTATCAGCAGTGGTATATAGGCACACATTCTGTAACTTGGCTAAATTAAAAATAATGCAGTAACCTAGGAATGCCACTCACATGCTGGGTCTGACTTGGGTGTGTGGGAAGATTTTGGTGAGCTTCTAGATGATACTGAGGGTGTCCGACTGGCGCTGAGGATTGAGGCACCAACATCAAGTGCATTAAAGTGCTGTTCAGGATCCAAGCTGGCACCATTGTCCTAAAACAAAGCAGAAAAAGGGAATAACTGTTGCATCTGTCAAGGTTAAAGCATTTTGAAATGCATTTAGTAATGGTTGCACACCAGTTCTTTGGCAGGCCTAAAATGACTTGAGCAGAACTAATCCCAGGTAGACCAGCAGAAGACCTGGACACAAGGTGTCAATGTCCCTTCCAAATAGCATCTAAGTAATGCATTTTACAAACAACTGTCACTGAGTTAGAAATAAATAGCAAGCTATGCCATACTCATTTTGTGCCTTCAGATGTTTTTCTGAATCTTTCGTGTTCAGTTGGATGTGACAGCAACTGCAACCTCTGTGAGACACTCAGCCATGCATTGAGGAGGAGCTTTGCTGTGTTCCCTCATCAGATCACTGAGATATAGCCAAGAGGGCTGATTGCCAGAACTTGTTCAAATTAATCTTTAAACTGTAGTATTTTGCCAAGGAAAAGTGGAGATATCTCACACTGCCCCTGCCCATGTTCTACTTTATTTCTGGCTGTTACTGATCTCCAGGTTTATCCTTTCATACTCATAACCCAATTTGCGTTAAAATTATTCAAGTGAGCAATGAATTCTGAAGTTGAGTGAATCCACCCAGAAAGACAATGCTGGGGTCTCTGGTGACATTAACATAGGAACGAGTTGTGATTACTACATAAATTCATGAAAAAAAGCTTTTCTCGTTGTACCTTGAGTGCTGAGGACACAACCTCTGAGGACACTTCTTCCAAGCCCATCTCCTGTCTCCTCTCCACCCGAACATCTGCATAACTGAATGGAAAATATAATTCTATGTATCAACATGGAATTCTTATGTTTCATTAAATGTGCTTTAAGAAAGTAGAGGAACATTAAATTACTGTACCGTTTTACAGGTTAAATGAACAGCTGAAAAATCATTTAAGTCAAATGCTACTGAATAACATTTGAGAAACTGTTTTAATTTTCAGGTTTTGGTCTATTCCTATCTTCTTGAAGTCAAGAAGCATATTAAGGAAGAATATATAAAGGTCAAGTTCACATCCTACAACTTCTTTATGACTTCACTGAAAAGATTCCACACAGCTCTTTAAAAACAACATAAGGATTAGAGGAAGTGAATATTTAAGGGATCTGTCTATTCTCTATTTTATATACTAAGATTTAGTCTGACAATTTTTCTATAATTAACGTATTTCCTTCAGAGAATTCAGGCTTAACTTTTTCTTATTTAAAAGACATTATGTTTTTAGGAGAATATGTTGGCAGACATGAGGATGCCCTTATCTTACTGTCCTTTATGTCCCTGCGGGTTGCTGTTATTTTCCATACCTTACCACCATGTGTGTGCACACAATAAACTCTGGCTTGGAGTTCCACTGGTGGTAGGTGATATAGTAATGGGTCTGCAGCCAGATCCACTGCTGTCCTTTGGTCAGAAACCGATAGCAGCACGACTTCCCCTTGCCGAACTGCATCACTGTCAGCAGAAAACACATGCAGCTTGTAACACAATTTTCCATGTGAAAATGACATGAAATGTGCATAAAAGTCACAAAAATATCTGTGTCTCCCCGTCAATTCCCAAGGCAGACAGGAGTCTAAGCACCAATTTTGAGTAAGTGCTCCCTCAGCCTTATGATAGAGCAAAAATCACAAAGATGAGCAGGTATCTTCTTCTGGCACTTTAAATGGTACACTCCTACACAGTACTATTAACCTTAAGTTTGGACACTAATGCATTAGTGTCTGCTACAATTTAAACAGAGACCTTACCCTGCTTTATGTACTGATCACATACTGCTTAATTAGGCATCTGGGATTAATTTCTAAGAGTGATCATCTTAAGTTCTAAAGCAGAAAATACAGGATAAAAATGCTTGTAAAGATGAGTATTGTGTGCTGATGGACTCAGAATGAAGTGAGCATAAGAGATAACACTGTGCAAAGACAACAAAAGGAACTGAAAGGAAGTTTTTAGACCAACAAGAATTCAAACTACAGTAAATAGAGATGTATTGAAGGTTTGAAAGATTCACAAAAAAAATTCACCTCTGCGTTTTTTCCCTGGTGATTTCAAGGGGTTCCCAAGCACCCCCATTTTTAGCCTTTCTATATTTTCAATGTCAACATATAAAAACTACTGTTGACAGCATACTTCCAGAACAGGCAGAAGTGGTAAGCTGAGATGCTACAGCCAGTTCTGTAAGCAAATATTTGAAAAGCATTGCCTCATTTTCTTTACTTAAAGAGTTTTCCAATTAAACTTTAACAGACACTATTTAAATAATCACAGGTAATCCCAAATACACAGTGGGGAAATAATCTACAAGAATTTCTTGAACTATTCCTGCATAGTCTTCACTAACGGGGATCTAATCTAGCACATTTTATCCATTCGGTTAGTCTTGTTGACTTCTTTTGGGGATACAGAAGGTAAAACTGTATTTTCCAAAGCTTGATAAGTTTGTCCCAGATGCCAATCAGCTGCAGGGCCTCCAACCTGCTACAACTCTTCTAAGGTACACAGGCTGAGGCAAGAGTCAAACTTCCCCTTCCAAGTTTAACTGCAACAACATTCCACTGAAAAGAGGTGTCCCAGCGACTTCCCAGGAACCTGGGCCATGAGATACTTACAGTGTTCATGGCACCTTGCTAGCAGCTCCAGGTCATCTATGTGGTAATAGTCGTAGCCAGAAGTACCCAGCACTTCAAAAGGCAAGTATCCTATAATTGGCGGTGCTCTGTGGTTAGGCACAACATAAGTGAGTTCATAAACCATAAAACAAGCAGTTCTGCATGTTGACATGGATATGCAAAAAGCCCAGATCTCCTTTCACTCATCGGTGTACAGTTGTTCATCCCAGGGGACTGGATCCTGACTTTCCCCCACCTTGTGCCTGGGATGCCCAGCTGAGCAGAGCAGTACTGGCAGCACCATCCAACCAGGACAAGGCTATGACAACCCCTTTTTTCCAGGGAAAATGTGGCTATGGGAAGCAATTCAGCTTCTCAGGGACCTTCACACAGGAACCTGTGGTGAGGAGCCATTCCCTGGCTGTTCCTTGGTCAGGGGCTCTGCGGCAGCTCCTGCAGTCCTTGCAGGGGAAAATGCATAGCGAGGTGAAAGGAAACCATCATTTGCTGGGACTAGGGGGATAGGAGGGGAAATTGTCTGTGCTGCTTCCCTCTGGGTGCCTGGAGAGCTCATCTGTGGTGTGCTGAAGCACTTGCTTTGTACCTTTGCCAGCACAGATGCCTCAGGCCAGCACAGACTTTCACTCCATAACTCGGTGGGAATTGCACACACACAATCAATGATTGGATTTGGAAAGAAGGATTTCTGCAGCTGTATAATAATTAGATAATTTTGCAATGTGACCGACTTTGGTCTGTTGATAATTTTAAAGGAAAGAAGAACAAGCTAATCAGAAATTTGGCCTGACAAACGGGGTACTTTTGTTTTAAAAGCCCGTTAAAAATAAATGCAAAAATAAATGTAAAATAGTAAACTTTTGTAGGAATTTCAGTGCAGCCCTCCTGTTCAGGAGATTTAGATGTGAAATGGAACACTATTTGAGATAACTGTACTTACGAAATAGCAGTACACAAGCACCAAACACAACCAGCTTTTCTTGTCACCAACCTGTGATCCAGGAATAAAAATTTCCACTCCAGACTGTGTCTTGATGTGAATTCCTCTAGATGTTCTTCCACAATGCACATCTCCTGTCCAATGGAGAAAACTGACTTACTGAGAGTTGCAGCTTCACCCCTCTGCTTCATCTACCTTTTGTTAGCTATAAATACATGGTGCATAAAAGGAGAAAACAGAGGATTCACCTATTTTCTGGCAATTCCAGAGAGGGATCTATTGTATTTAGCAATGCCAACATTTTTGCAGGAGCTGAGGAGAAGAACTGGTGATGCGCATGAACTTAAGAGCTGAGACACTGCCTCAGGGTGCCAAAACTTTATGGCTTTGAAGCAGTGCCTGCGGTGTAATGGCTGTGTTGTCCACAGCCCCAAGGAGCAATGCCCTTTTCCAGCATCCAGCCTATGCCTGATCCCACTAGGGTTTTGTCATGTCTTGCTTCACTCTCCTTATGTTACTACAGATATCCACCACGCTTGCCTGGTCCTCTTGGACATCTGCCCCCCAAGCTCTCTTTGAGAAAGGGGAATACTCTCCTCACTCAATAGCTGCAGAGGAATAAATGCCTTTCCTGTCAGGCAGGTAAAAGGCAGCAGTTTTGCATTGTACTTCACTGCTGCAGCGAAGAAGCTGGCTCTGAAGACTCACAGCAGCCCTCAGTGCTCACAAGACTGATAACTAATGAGTGAATTACAGGAGGCAGGGTACAGGGCTGTCTGTGAGGTAGGACATCCCCAGAGGGATGAGGATCAGGAGGTAGTGATTATTTGTTGTGGGGAGGTAGGAAGCAGAGGGAAGGATGGCACCATGGTGCACACCTGTGCATGGGCCAGGGCTGGTTGCATGTCCCACGGCCAACTTGCCTCCTGCTCATGGCTCTTCTCTGCCAACCTCTCCTCTCCCACTAGAGGAGGGGCAACTGGGCTGGGTCTTGCCAGCGTCAGCACTCCAGATTTGGTGGCATCCAGGGTTACTGTGTCCTTCATGTCTCTCCTGCAGGAAGGTCTCCATCATTGCTGATAAGGACAGCCTGTCCACTAGCTCCCAATGCTGCTATTCTCCAGCTCCCTGATGGCACATCCCCCTGTGCTGTGGGCTCAGTGATACTCTCCCATCATCTCCATTGCTGCTTCTCTCTCTGCTGTCCTTCTTGGGGAGAGAAGACTTTCAGACCACTAATGTTTTAAACCCTCCTGGGACCAGAGGACAAGTTGAGGTGCACTGTCATCAAGCATTTCTTTCATACATATCAATGCTGACAAAGTTGTTTAAAGTCTCTGGCTGTGCTGAGGCAAAAGGCTTCATGAACACTTTAAATTCCTCTCTCCCCCTCTTTCCAATTTAGGCCAAAATCCATGCTGATGCCAAGAATGTACACTAAAATTCAAGGTGCAACATACAAACATTGCTGTGTGCAACCAAATTGCTGATTCTGCCTTCCTTAGCCAGTCACATAAACATTTTTACTTTCTTTTTAGAGGAGGAAGACTGGGGGTTAAGTGAGTCACCCAAAGGAGAACCAAAGAGATGAGTGTTTAGGACTTTGTGGCAGTTAAAAGCTTTTCTGGGCTCTTCAGCAGCTGCTTCCTCCCTAGTACCACACAGCTCATTGCCATGTGCAGCCCATTTAGTTTCCCTGTTTATTTTGAGGTGTTAGCTATCCGAAGACAAGGGAATTTGCTTTTAGGTTTCCCAGAGTACCTTAACTCCAACCCTACTCTTACTATGATTACTGTGGTTAAGATTTATGGGAAGTGTCCTCACTTACCCAGAAAGGACTCTACTTGTCTGCCAGGGCCATGAATCAGTCAAGAGTGCCCTGCAAATCCCAGAGCAGTAACAGAGCCAGGCCAAGGAAGCAGTGATTTCATACTGGCCAGGTCTAAATTACATTAAAAAAATCTCTTAACCCCTGAGGATGGGGCATCTGATGCAGTAGTTCACAGCTGTTAATTAGGGAACAGCAGTGTCAGGCACAAGGTTGGATTGTCTATCCTTATAACCACAATCATGTATCTCACTACCAGGATTTGGGAGGAGGGAAACTAGCAGCAGTCAACCAAAGACACCGAGGGCACAAATTAAAGTGTTGGTGGCCACCTGTACATTGTCCCATTGCAGGAACAGAAAGCAGCAAGGAAGAACCCAATTTCAAAGTGACTTTGTAATTCCTAATGCAAGGAGGGTTTCCATTTACCATGTGATAGGGGCAGAAGTGACACTGCTTCCACAGATCCTGGCTTGCACTGATAATCCGCTTCACTGGATTTTTATGCATGAAATGTGATATCTGTAATCCATTCAATTAGCAAAACTAAGAACCTTCTATGTCACCTCATCTGAAAGTGTTACGAGAAGTTCTGAAATGAATGGGACCGAGGGCACGGACTTACCTTTAAAAACTGAGGCGTTGCCAAACGAACAGTCGCAACGAAGCAGATCTGCTTTCCCAGGGACGTTCTGTAAGCCCTCGGGACAGCCTCGTCAAAGCCATTGCAAGTGGAGTTAGGCACTAGGTAGGGGAAAAAATGGGACCTGGAATCATGCCTCATATAAGATTTTCTCTCCCTGAATATTTTGCACGCTTGAAGCCTACTAATACTATTTTTATTCAGAGAAGTGTTCTAAAAGCTTTTAAAGCTGATATGCATATATTTAAATCCAAGTCAGTCATGTTAGTCAGAAAGACATCAGAGCTTAACTTCAAGTATGAATTTTACAGGTTAATCCTGATAAAAATAAGGCCAAACCTTATTACAGAGCACAAAGCAGTTTTCTGGAAAGAAACCCCATGCATCCAATTGCTCTTTTTCACCACTCACAAGAAAAAAATATATGCTGCAGCATGCCTAGCACCATTACTTCCACAAGGCAGTGAAAAAATGCGCTGGCAAGGGAGGTAGCTGAAGAGAGTTCATCAAGTCATCAGTGGCAAAACACTAGGGCCCACAGCCAGCAAGGCTTCATCGAGCTAGTAAGAGGCTGCTTGTGATTCTTGGCTGCTGAAGAGTGTCTTCCCCTCCTGCATCTAAGAAGAACTGTCCCCAGTGTGCTCAAGTTCTACTTGTTTTAAAGAAGACGAAAAGGGACCCTGTGCATGGCTTCCAGAGATGGGCATATTTGGCAAGTCTGCAGGTGGCCTGCTGTCTCCTGAGACAATGGGTGGAAGGAAAAGGTGGATGTGATGTGGCTACACACTTTGTGTATGTTTTTTTATTTGCGTATTTCACGATTGCATGGCTCTTGTGTTGCTTGAGAGCCCACTAGCACCTCCTGCCACAGAGATGTGCTGCCAAAAGAACGTGTTGCCTTAAGCCAGCCCACAGTCCCATATTAGAATGACATAAAGCAAATTACTCCTCCAAATTCAAGCTGTTTAGAGATGGTAATCCCACTCCCACAGCTGTGAAAGAAAACTGTGTGCCAAGCTGCAATGGGAAATGGCTCTTGCCCTGCTCAGCCAACTGTCTCCCATGGGGGCAGAGAAGGTCCTATCTAGCAACCAGAGTTCACCAATGTAAGTTAATCTAATGCTAATAGAAATTAATGCTAATATGAAATTATCTTTTCTCACTATTAGGCCCCTTTATCCAACTTTATGAAGTTTCCTACAGTTTGTCTCTTCTGCACAGGACAAAGCATTACTGTGAAACTGAAGAGTTTTGTAGCTATCTGGGGAGGATATAAATAGCAATTTTTATCCTGAGGTGCTTCTGCACTGGGCTTTAGTTCACTAGCATAAACTGTAGAGATAGAAGAAGTCTCAATTTATCACATTTGTTTTTGGAACCCAGTTCAACCTATTAAAAGCCTTGGAATATTGATACATTACTGGTAACAAGGATAACAGGGTAGGAGATGGAAAAATAAGTACTCTAAGGCGAATTCACACCTATGATTAACTGATTTAGGCCACTGTGTGCACAACACATAGTGCACCAAAAAGGGAAAGAAAGATTCCTTATCTGAGAAGACAGCACAGATGTGAACATCCACAGAGATTATAGCCCTCTCTTGTAGTTGAGTCTGGAGGGCATGGCTGACTGGATATTGAGATAAAAAACATGGGCAAAACTCTCCTCTTTTCACCAGCAAAGCACACTTGCTCTGGGGACTTCCTAGGAATATGTATTCCCATTTTGATCCTGGGGTTATGTGTATATATGTGGATTTCTATGGGATTATTAATACAAGAGGTGGATAAAAGGAAGAGTTAGGAGCTGCAGGAAACAGGAGAAGCCTGAGTAAAGAGCTATTGGTCCATCTCTGATATTATCATCTTGTGCAAGTCTGTTCATTTCTGTAGTCAGTCCTCTTTAATAATAAATGGGAATGCTATAAACCCACACTATGGGCATTGTAAAAAGTTACTTCCGAGCTTACTATGTAGGATGTTGTCACATCTGAAGTCAAGGGGGCTGTTTCTCTCTGTAACAGCCAAGTTCAGTACCAAATGCTTGCAGGCTGGGCTCTTAAATATGAAAATAAGATAAGCACATTCAGCCTCTGAAGCACAGGTATGATAAGTTAAACTAGTTAGCAAACCATGGGCTTGCAAATGACACCAGCTGTAGGAGAAAGCGGAGACTGAGTGGAAACTAAGTCACCAAAGAGAGCAGATAATTTTTAATGTCAGCTGTTGGATGTAAACAGCCAGGAGCCTGAGACAAGCAGAATACATCCCTGACTGTGGCATTTAAAAAATAGGATCATATTTCCAACAGGTAAATGCAGTACTAAAAGGGTAATAATTATTGTGTAGGACAGCTAGGTAGTGAATTTGGGATTTCATCACAACTTTTGAGAATGGTGAACTTAAGCAGCAGTGAATTAATAAGCCCAAGGAGATGAGACAGAGCTGGCCTGGTTGGAAGTCATCCTGTGTTTGAACAGCTCCTGTGCCATCTCCATACTCAGCTGCCTTTGACAAAGCCCAGAGCATTAAAAGCCTCAATGATGCAGGCAGGTAGCCACCACCTTGCAAAGTACATCTCCATCTGAAAATGACAACTACAATAACCAAAAGAAAAAAACCCATTCATGTTTGCTTCTGATTATTTTTTTTGTATCTGTTCTTTCCCCAGCTCTATCTGCACAGCCTGTTTTGCTCTGCTTTTGCAGCTGGTCAGCAAATTTCAACTTTTTTTTGTTGATAAGTTTTGAAGTGTAGTTAAAAAAAGAGATAATTGCAATAATTAAAAAATTATAATCATCATAATAATAAAATATTAGTAACGAATATTATAATAACAATAATATATTGATAACTAACAATAATAAAATAATATCATAATAAAAATATAAACCTTTTAAGCATGCCTTCTGAAAAATCATACTTTATAATTCTCCAAGTCTCTTTAAAAGAAACACATCTTCAGGTAGTGAAGTTCAGTAGCGAACTTTCTGAGAGCACCACAGAAAAAGAGTGGAGTGAAAAATACAGGATCAAGCCTGAGACTAGGATGATATTAACATTTTTAAGTCCAATACAGGGCTTGGAGTGCTTCCGTCAGAAGATGCCTGATGAAGATGTTAAACTGGCTATAAACAGGTTGGTTTGGGTAAATGAGGGCATATGTGTTTCACAATTAAATGATCTGGAGAAAATATCTTGAGTAGGGAATTAGTAGGTAGTGTGACAAAGCTAAATACATTATCAAAAAGGTGAAACAGTTGTCTCAAATATATCAGTTAGCTGATACTCCTTAGCATGAATTTTAATAGTTTTTGCCGTTACCTATCACACCCACTGCTCCTAGAGCTACCACAGAATCTTTCATAGAAGTATTAAATATCCACAAATATCTCGTAAGATAGAAAGAAGCTGATATGCCTATATAATTTGTTTTTAATTGTTGCTGTTTTGTTTTTAAAGACAAGGACACTGAGGACAGAATGTTAAAAATAAATAATATATACAAGGAACCAAACCCTTAACTAGCACAGACAAAAAGATTTTTATCCTTAGGGATACAAATCATGCCACCTGAAATGAATGAAAACATGTTTAGAAAACCCCACATGCCACTTTATTCAGTTAATAATGGTGCAACAGTCAGTTGCTTGGTCATCTTATTTTAACATAGAATGTGTAAAACATAATCTTCCTAAGATAGCAAGCCTCCCATTTATGCCATTTGAAAGAAGAAATCCCCCCTTTCTATTTTGTCAGTAGATGTTAATCTTTAAAGAACCAGTTTTAGTGACTATCAAACAAACTCAACAGCGATTTCAAAAAATACAAGCCAAACAGACCAGAAATCAAGATTGTTTCATATAAATAAATTCAGACCACATATAAACAGAATATCCATCAATTAATATATATATAATGAAGAAATCTAAAGTGCTGGTGGCAAGCCAGATTGCCCACAGTAGCTTTTGATGAATAACAGTGACAGTGTCCATACATCACCTGTCTACTTTGATCTCCTCTCTCCACCTTCCTCCTCCTGTTTCTCCCCTTGCCATCGTGTGTTGATATGAATCCCAAGTAAATTCTTTAGGACAGGAATGGTGTCTTTTTCTTAAATACCCATAGAGACTCCAGCATGAGTGCTGCATATTGTTAGTTGCAGCTTCTATGATATCATTAATAGCAAATATGCAGCTGTCGGTTCTGATCAAAACATTCATTTTGGATTGAGCTATTCTTGTTTTAGATGTTTCTGCACATACTTTGAGGGTTCAAGATCAATGTATCTCCTGTATAAATCTGTTTATTTCTTTTAAAAAGGAATTCAGATTGAATTACTTGTTCTGGGAATTACAAGATTTCTTCTCTCCTCAGCATAATAATTATCTTGATGTTTATTCTTATATCTGAGAGATATATCAGCTCACAGTAGAGTATCTGCTATTATTAGCATTCAGTACCAGATACTTCTTGAGTTTCCATGTAACTGGGAACAAAAATGCACAATTTTAAATTCCACTATAATATTTAATTATATTACTTATTAGGAACCTTTTTTACATAATGGTTATCTCCTTCTTCAAGAGAAAAACTTCAAGCATTTTGGACAAAAGGACAGATCCATCACTTTAAAGATGCTGGTGGTCCTTTTTTGTATTAGTGAACTCTTTGAAAGGAAGGACTCCATCTTTGTCCCTTTCAGGAGTTTTGAAGCAAGTATGTCACCTCAGAAATAGGATGCTAATACCAATATTTGGATATATAATTATGAAAGATCTTTGTCTGTTTACAAACGTATAAACAATTTTCACAGGAGGGATAAATTCAGTCCGTCTTATCATTTCTTATCAGACTAAGCTATTAAGCGGCTTTGTAAAATTTATTCTCACTAAATTTGACATCTTATACTGGAAGCTAAGCATTTCCTTGGATTTTTGGGGAGGGTTATCTTTTTTACTTGCCTTCCCCCTCAGCCCTCAGGCAAAACTGGATATGAGCTACTGCATTATTCATTGGTGATGCTGATATGACTCTCTCCCTTATCAGGTACTACTAGTCAATAGGTACAGTGATGGCACTTGGCTCCTCAGATGTTTGCATACATTCATGTCTCTTGTTAAAATGTAGGCTACAGAACCAGTACCTGAAATATATAAAAATATTGGAAAGAGTTTCTATTTGCAAATAAAACAAAAGCAACCCCTATGATCTGAGAGCAAGCACAGAAGCAAGAAGGAACTCCACTGGCCCATGGGCCACCTCCTCTCTTCTCAAGGGACTACTGAATCTTCACATCAGGTTACAGTCCTGCTTTTCTCATTGAAGCTTAATTAATGATGGTTATATAATCCTCCCAAATGGAAAATCAAATCTCTTGTATTTGATTTAGCACAGCCAGTGACTCATGCAGTCACTCTGCTCAGCTCGCATTGCTGTTTCGTTGGTCGGCTGCTCTCGCTTGGGCACAGCTAATTCAAGGGGGATTCACTCGTGCAGGCAGCTCGTGTCACATCCCTGGTGTTCTGCAGCAGGGGTTACAGAGTACAGCTTCCCCAGGACTAGGCCAAGTGTGGACCTTCTTGCTAACCCTGGCACTGGACTGTGCAGCTCCTCTAGCCCCCAGCTACAGCTGAGACCTGGAGCTCTGGGAACAGTGATCTTCTGAAAGACTGAAAACATGCTTTGAACTATGTGAACTTTCCTGGGCAATTTCTAGGGTCTCTACATGCATGTCTCTGGTTCTTCCAGGATCAGGGAAGATGCCAGTGACTGCTCCTCTGTGAGAATAGCATGAGTTCGATCTAGGCTGTGTGTGCTCTGGCTCCCTGACAGCAATTCTGGTAACAAGTCACCTTGGCAGATATCTGGTATTTGTTCTAGTTCAACATGAAAAAAATTATCTTTGGCATCTCAGTACAATGGCCTTTAAAGCCCCAGAGCTCCCATTAAAGTTAGTGAGAGCAGCTAAGCCCCTAACTGGCTTTCTAAGCCGCAGTCCTTCAAATTAATCCATTCAAACCCATCCCTATATGATGTTCTCAGCCATAAGTCACAATGCGATTAAAGGAGAAGGTATGAGGGAGGAAGGAGGGGGAAAGGTGACTGGGAATCCATGAGCATGACCCCCTTCCCCCAAGCACCACCACTATATGAGCAATGAACAATAATATAATGAGCCTAAGAAGATGATAATTCAAGGGAGGTTACATAAAAGGTTATGTGGAAGTGGAATAAAGCTAGTTACATTTCTGTTAAAGAGGGCAAAAGAGGACCTACAGTTCTTAAAAACATTAGCAAAGGTTAAGTGAGAAGGAAAGGTGAAAGATTTGCTAGGGCTGTTACTGCCACAACCCTACATTAATGACAATGGAATAGCTAAGTATCCTGATGGGATACAGCCTGCCCAGGGATAAAAGAACTTCCCTGGCCACAGAGTCTCTGGTGTCCCTGCAGCAGGAACATGCAGGCAGGGTGGACTCAGAGTATGCTCAGAGTATGCTCAAACCATTGAAAACAAAAGCGGGATTTGGCATTGGGTGGCTAAAAAGGAACAGCAGAGATTTGTGTTTAGAGAACATTCTGTATCAGTCTCCCATGTGTAAAAACATGCTCACACTTCCACTGCTCTGAAAAGCTATAGGGAAAAACATTCTTGAATACATTCATAAGGAATGTCTCCTGCTAATTAATCTTAATTTGCAATTTCCTTCATTCTCCCCCAGCTAACTCTTTTCTTATCTTTAGCTTAGCCTCCTTCCTTCACAAACACCTCCAAAAAGCAGGATTTGGGGCCAGCTGATCCTGTGCACATAGGATGAGTGCTACCCTGAGTGATATGTCTCTCTCCTACCACCCTTCCCACCACTGTCTTTCTCACCCACTTGGTTCACAGCAGGAGGAGGGATGACTGGAGAATGAGTATTTATTTAACAGGAGGAAGAAGAGGGCAATCTCTGTCAGATCCAGCAGGTGACACCCCTGAGGTGCATGGGCTGGGTGAGATAGTGCCTGATAGTGAGGCATCCTGGGGTGTGTGTGGGCCAAGCAGGGGTAGGAACCCAGCCCACCAGTGCACCCACCAGATGCTCAAAGGTGCCTGTACCACAGGTTCCTGTGCCAAAGCCCCTGTATCAGAAGAGGTGCTTGCCTCCAGCCCTGGGGCTGGAAAGCTGCTCAATGCACAGCTGCGTTCATACGGTGCTCGCTTGAGCTGACGTCTTCCATGTCTTGCTCAGGTGCATCTGGCTGATGCAAGGAGCCCAGTGGATCCATTGACAACTGCCTGGGAGGTTTGCACCCTCCTCTGGCTGCTCGCTCTATCCTTGGCCCAGGGTTATCAGCTCCCAAGCAAAGAGAGTTTGCTGCTGCTACATCACGAGTCTGGTGCCCTTGCTTCCACCTTTGCGGAGAGGTGGTTTTGTGGCTGGATTAGGAGCTAAGAGGGGGACAACACAGAGGCAGCCACAGGGACAACTCCCATCTAGGGGTAGCAGTGCTGCGGACACACTGGTGAAGCAAGTATTTTCATCAGGCTCTGCATTGAACTGGCAAAACTAAAGTCAGATGGCAAGGGAGCCAGGAGGCACCATCTCACAGAGGCAGGGTGAGGGCTGTCCCCTCCCTGTCAGCTGGAGAGTCAGGCTGCAGCAGAGATGGAAAGAAAGTGGAAGAGACAAAAAAAATGGAAGTTTTAGAAAAAGTGGCACAAAGGGGAAAAAAAGAATTTGAGGCAGAAAGCACATATCTTATTTGAAAGCTAGAAGATGGGATCTTTGGAAAATGATTTGGTGCCTTCTGAAATCATTATGTTCCCATTTAGTTTATATGCATTAAGCTAGGGAAGATATCTATATTGCAAGTTTTATCTTTCTTCTGAGAAAAAGCCACTATACAAATGCTGGGATATGAAATCCTAATGGGTAAGGGGGCAATACTAAGGTCATGCCAAAATAAAAGGCTAAAAATCCTTGAAGAAAATGGATCAGAAATTCCCCCGGTAAAAATGTATCCTTATGAGTCAGCACCTGAAATCTGGTTTCTGCTCTAGAAAACAGAACAGCTTGCTGCGTGCGTCTGTCAGGCAGGCGCATTTCACTTCATTCAAACTAGAAAGCATACAGGCAGTTACAATTTTTTATACAAACAGAGCCTCGAATCAGATGGCACAAAACAAGAAACACATATCTCCATCCTGCACGTAGGTTTCTATTCTAGTCATGTGGAGCAAGAGCAGAAAGTTAAATGGGGACAGGGACATTTTTTTCGCAGTGAGGCGTGCAGTTTTTGGAAAGCACGGTGGGGAATTTTTTTGCAGAGGATGACCTATTTGGAACAATACCAGCAACGCTGGACATGCCACTCTGGAGTTCAGTCAGGCAAGTAACTAAAGCAAACTTGGGCAGGCAAGAGAAGGGAAAGCAATAAAAGAGTATTTAATTTCTGATACTAATGGCCATGCAACAATCTCTTTGTTAGGGAATGGGTAAGGTGGAAATCTGCTCTTCATCCCTTGAAAGATGGTTTCCCTAGACTGACTGTGGTGCATTAGCAACTATGCTGACTGCACTTTTTTCCTTTTTGTGGAGAGTGTTGGGTTCTGCAGTGCTCAAGAGGAATATAAAATGGCAGCTGGGGAGGGCAGTGGATGGATGGCAGTATCCTCAGCTGTTCCAATGCCACGTGGCACCGCCGCCTTTCTCCAAGGTTTTGCAGAGAAGGGTGAGAGGGCATGTTTGGCAGATTATCAGTTCTGGCACAGGTTCTGTGCTTAATGCAAACCAGTAGATGCTAGGTAGCAAGCTTATTATTTTGCTAATAGGTGGGGTCTTAGCACACAGTCTTAGCGAGCACAAACAAATCCTTCTCTAAACCTGTCGTTATTTGCGAACTTACCCAGACACCAGGATCACTGCAAGTGAAGGGCAATAACAAAAGCAACTAACACAGTTTCAATCATCACATGTATTCATCCAGCTATTGCAACTCAGCCATGAGATCCGTGTGAAGCAAAATTTACCCAAATATTAAAAATAGTTCTTTCAGTTAAAAGCCTGTCTTGTTCAATGGAGCAATACTTATATTTTATTTTACACAGCTACAGTAACATTTATACAACAATTAAAGCTTACCATTGCTGTAAGACCGAAAATTTCCTACAAATTTTATGTATTCATATGTTGGAAATTCCTTTGGGTTCAAACTTCCTCTCAGAAGATGACAATAAAACTCTAGTTCATTGTCAGCTGGATTGTTAAAAGAAGAAGAAGAAGAAATAAATATACTAATTAAGCTAAACACAACCAATGGTGTCTTCCAACCCCAATCTTGCAACTGGCAGCACAAGAGCAGCTTGTTACCACTCAGGAGTCCTAAACACCAATGTGCTATACATTGCAGGATCAGAGCCTCTGCAAGGAAGCCTCTGCAAGCATTGCAGGGATGCAGGTTGTTCAGCACTGTGCATGGGCCTGCCTGCAGCTCAGGGACAGCTCTGGAGATTAACTTGCCCTTCTCTGACACTACCTTCATCACAGGAGTTACACAGCCATAGCATCAGTGTAGCAAAAGAGAGAACTGGATCCTTCACTTACTGCTTTTTTTCTGTTTAGGCTTTTTACAACTCACAGCTGTTCTACATCTTGTGTTGGAAAACTACACCTAATTACCTCAAAATATCTATTACATTAACTTTAGTGTATTAGCTATCAGCTGTAGGTTTTGTACAATACAGTAGATTAAGCAGCAGTACATCTTACATTATTGTGTGTTTTCTGGTTTCCTACATCTTACCTCCCAGAGTGAATAAGGATGAGGCAGTAAAAACATTTTTAAGAAAAAAAAATTCAAATTTAAAAGGAATTACAATTATTTTAGAAATATGTTTCAACTATAAGGCAAAACAAAGGTATGCAACATTAGCATATCTCTGAACAGCATCTCATTTGAACAGGCTGAAATATCAATTAAGATGTGATTTGTCTCATGCGAACTCCCACTTTCCATGGGCTAACCTATTTTCCTTAGCTGTCTCAAAAGATATGATATTTAATAATTAACACAACTGCAAGTAGTCTTAGCCCAGTAAAATAAAGGCAATGAGTTTCATTTAAAAATAGAACCAAAGGGTCATTCCAGGTGGCAAGATCTTTTTAAAAGGCTATGAACCTAATTTTTTTATTGCACATCACATAAAAAATTCTTTCTGTGAGAAAATTTTTATCCTGCCCATGCTTTTTCATTTACTAGAGAAGATAAAATAAAACTTACTTTTTAGGTAATCCGGTGAGGCAGAATCTGTCATAAGCATGCAAGAAGATAACATCTTATAAATTTCTGAATGTTCTTGTTCTGGGAGGAAATTCAACAAATTCTGATCCAAGACATCACACTGCAAAGAAAAGAACTTTTGAGACAAACAACACTTGCAGAGATGTGCAACAAGGTGGATACAACACCTGTGGCATTCAATGGGAGTTTCCCCACCCAGCGATTTCCAAGGACTCCTGACAAAGTCTAAAATGAGGAAAACTGCTGGGCAAACCGAGTAGCCACTTCTCTGTAGGCTGGTTGTCAGGTTAATTCTCAGCACTGAGCGATATTTAATGTTTCTCAGAGACCATGAGATGCATCAGGTATGTCCATGCCATTAAATGCTGAGACCTGAGAGTGAGTTGGAAAATGGCTGTCTGGCTCCCCATACTGCTCACCAACTCCATGCACAGGCCTGCTGTGGATCATTGGAGCTTGTTCTCTCCCTGCTAGACCCTGACTGGCAGAAGCAGTGAGGCTGGGAGTCATCCTGAGCCACCAGTCCCATGAGCTGGGTCAGTCCTAGATCCAGCCCCTTCCTTGGGGTATCTCCTCAGCTCCTGGGAGGTGCCCTTGGGGTGACAGACCTTGCTCCCCACTTCCTGCATCCTGGCAGGTGGGAGCAGGGAGAAGGGGACCCCCCAGTCTGGACATCACTTTACAGCAGCAGCAGTTAGTCCCCAGAGAGGGGGAATTCAGTGCCACTGGGACAAGCCCTCTGGACAGCCATGGGCTGAATGTCCATGTGTCTCCAGCCCCACTATCATCTGGCATGAACCTGAAATTCCTTCAAAACCTAGCTGCTGAGATTTGAGAATGGAAAGAGGAAATGGATTTGTGCAAAAGGCCCAGGCTGGAGAAGACAAAGAGTCTGTCACAGGGCTGCCAAGAGGAAGGTCTCACTGTGCTCAGCATGGTGACTAACCTAACACTAGAAAAGTGTATCTGAAAGGAAGCCTGAGATAAAGTGACCCTCTAATAACATTGACTTAAATTCATCCCACTTGAGACCACCTCAGGCTGAGCTGGCACACTGACACAGCTTTGTGTGTCATCAGAGGAGTTGATATCAGACTGTATAGTCATACTGAAAACATGTAAGCTCTGTATGAGACTGGCAAGTCTCATACATCATCATAAGTCTCATAAATCATCATCATTTATTTATGTAAGATTGCACTTTGGTTTCCCTCTGCTTTCTATCCATAACTGCTGTTCTGGGTAGAATTCCCATTTAGTGTAGTGAAATTCATCAAGTGTACTTTAAAAATTAGAGTGCTACGATTTATATACTTACCTTGATGTGATAGTATTTCACTTTAGATGATGGAGTATTAAGTATTTATTACATGTGCTCATTACTTGAATATTCCTTTTGTGAAGAAACCCTGTCAGGGATGTCCTGGTAAAGCAGGCAAGAAGGGACAGGGAGGACTCTTCCCAAGAAACTGCGTATTTTTGGAGTCACAGGGTACCCTCTGGCTGGCGAATGCTATGAGTTGTGACTATATTTCCAAGAGTACACTTCAACTAGAGTCAACCTTACCATGTGAGCTACATCTCTCTACCTCAACTGACACTAAGAGTAATACCAGATCTTGTTGAAACAAATTATTTAGAATTACAACAGGGAAAGTTTGTGTTTGAAAATGCTCCATGGAACTTATGGAAGCTGTATTAAAGAGAATTGGATATATTTGCTGTCAGCATCAGAGACTTATATGATTTTAATGAAAGGAAATACATCAGATTTCTTGATAAGGGCCCTCAGAGAGCCCTGCTTTGTGTACTGCCCAGTTTTGCTTTTTTTTTTTTATTGCTTAAAGTAGAAGATTTGCAGAGTACTTTTTTCCCTGTTGTCACAGAGGAGAAGAATTGGTATTTTGTTCCTCAAACAGTGACTGAATTTAGCTTACAAACAGATCCTGGAGGTAAACAAAATAAGCCACATAGATTTTCCAGATAGCACTTGTATCAGTTATAAAACTTAAAAAAACCCCCAAAAACATATGGAAAGGGTAACAGAGGATTCAAATATCCAGTGTGCACCTAACTGCACCCTCAGCTGGGCAGCTGCCCATGGCCATGGTGATCTGCCGACCTGAGGCAGGCAGAAGCCTTTCTTGCTTGTTCAGTTGCAGTCTGTCAGGTTGGTTCCTGACTTGGGCTGCCATGTGCTGCTTTTAGGTGAATAAAAAGTAATGTCCATCTTCATCCTTATTTTGGGCTGGATACCATGTAAGGTTATCACACAAGGCATGTCTTTGGGAGAGAAAATTGATATAGTTTCTGATGGTCCAACTCAGGAATTATGAACCTGAATCTATCCATTTTCAGTCAGGGTTTAAGATTTTAGGCACAGGGTTGGAAATGCATCTTCCTAAAGAGGAATGCTTTCCCACAGCAGATCTACCGTCTCCTGTAAGAATCAGTATTTGGAAGGGATACCAACGAAACCACCAAATGATGAAAGACAAGCACATTTCATAGAAATCAGTAAGTGCATGAAGACCCCACAGCCTGTATGCAGGACAGAGCTCTCCCCACCTTTGAAGTGAAGGCAAATGTCAGAAAATAGTCAACTACTGGTCTTCTCAACTGCTGAGGATGAAAGAAAACTGAAATAGGTAGATTCAGTTCAACATGTTGTTGCATAGCAATATTCTTACATTTACCAGGAGCTGTTGCCTTTCATCAAGTTCCTTTTGTCTCAGAAGAAAGTAATTTTTGTTCATATTACAGCAAGGTAGTGTGTGTGAAATACATTTGTCTGGGTGGAAAACGTAACACATATTTGGTGAAAAAATAAACAAGAGAAAAAATTCTAATTTTCCTAAGAACATGGCAGGGGGTAGTACAACAATAATTTGGCAGCTATTTTTTTTCTCCTGGGCATGTATTTATTTGAGACTAGGATATAAAAAATGAGCATGAAGATTAATCCATAATTATTATGTCATTTCTCCTAGAGCAGTCTTAGCAACAGGGAGCAGTCCCTCTCATCTGCTCCTCCAGCCCAAGCCAGTGCATGCAAGTGTCTCCCACAGCAGCACCCAGCAGCCCACGGATAAAACAAGCTGCTCATGTTGGACTGAGTACCAGTTTGACCAAGGTATAGGTGCACCATGCACTCAGCATTGGCTCCACCAGCACCTCCTGGGAGCAGGGTGTGCTCCCCTTGGGAAAGCACAGCTGAGCTGCAGGGAGAGCTTGTCAGCAGCCTCCAGATGACTCTGAATTCAATGGGGTTTTTGTCCTTTACCTCCCTGGGAGCAGAATAAGGCCCTTAACAAGCTCCTTGCTGGGCTGCCAGCACCACTGGTGCTATTCTCTCCTAGCTTAGAAATCAGAGATGGAAAAGATCAGCCAGGTCACCCTGTCCCTCCCCTGGCAAAACTATTCCTGCAGAGCTTTTTCCATTCAAGCCGAAGTGCCTCATAGCAACAAAAACCTGAAGGGTATGAATCAGAGAGTAGAGCTGAGCAACAGCAGCAGCCACAGGGAAAAACTCCCTCACCGCATTTCCAGGAAAACTCCACCCCCAGCACCCTTTTGCATCTGTTTCTAAAAATGCAGGGCCTGATTCTATGATGTGTAGTAGAAAAAACAATGCCAGAATTACTCACCGGTAAATGCCCTAGAAGAGGTGTGATGCTGTCAGACACATAGATGATGCTTCCACCTGTAGTTACTGCTATAATGAAGCCATCTAATGCCTAAGGAAAACAGACAAGTGGAGAGTGCTTTAACAGGAATGACTGGTGTAAACAGACATCTCACCGTGTGTTGATCAAAACAATTTCATTTCAGCACCATATTGTTATCAAGTTGTAGGAACGTTATCTCAAGTTGCAGAACAGTAATTCTCTGATTTTACAGTCTGATTTAACTTTTACAAGATTCTTTGTAGTCTAGTAAAACCTACTATTGAAGTAACAAAGGGCTCACAGGAACATTTCATGTCTCAGTTTTTAAATTAATCACACATTTTAATAATGCAAAATGACTAAGACTGGATCCCTTGGAAGTTATTAAAATGAACATTTGAGCTCTGTGTAAATATCAAAGGACGATGAAAGGATGCAGTCCTATCTCAAAATGGTACTTCTCTGCAAACCCCATAAATCTGGGTTTGTATTAATGTAATGTTGTATATTACTGGGCTTTCATGTAAGTAAAAGCAATGCAAATGATCAAATAATCCTTAGCCTGAGTTTTAATTGAGTGATTTATTTTAAAGGTCATGGTATTAGATTGTTCGTTCCAAGAGAAATTCACCCTTCTGCAGAGTTTCTTCCTCACTTCAGTCCCACCTTGCAGTAAGCCCCTTCATTCCTAGGACTGAAGGGAAATGTCAGCCTTATCCCCACCCTCTGTACAGCAGCAATTTCACCTTCAAAATTAGGCTTTTCTTTAGTCTGAGCTGCTAAGTTTTGAGCTCGGTGTTGTTCAAAGTTAAATTCATGTACATTTTGAGATCTAAAGCAAGATTAACTTAATTTTGGGAGGGGGATTCTCCTCAGAGTGAACTAAAGCAAGATGAGCTTTAGATCACTCGCAGGAGGACACTCCAAAAAATTAAGACTCCATAATGGGTGCTCAGAGAATATATTAAAACCTTCCCATTGTCATTAGGGAGTCACTGATGAGGCTTCCAATCGTTCAAGTGGAGCAAGTCTGGGGCCTTTCTGTCAGTTCCCTGGTGTTCTGGAGTCGGTGCTGCCAGCAGTACTTGAGCAGCAAAGGCACTGCAAGCACAACTGAATCAGAGCAGAGTTCAGCTGTACTCCAGTAGCAATATCTGCTCCAGAGACAGGTGTACTGCAAACAGCCTGATCAGGGTGCCACAGCATTACAAAACCATACTGCAAATCCAGGCCTGACCCCGAGCCAGACTAGCAGTTGATCTTGCAAAGCTGCAGCACATCCTTCCTTTCCCCCCTCCTCCCTGCTGACTTCAATAAGGGAAAGAATTCTGAGAACACTGGAAAATGCTAATTGTTTAAAAAAAAAAAAAAAGAAAACACAAAGCCTTGAATAGACACACAAACATATGTTCCTTTTTCCAGAGAATGCTGAGCACCCACAACTATTTAAGTCAATGGGAATCTGCTGGTGCTTCAATCCTTTGAAAAGCAAGTCAATAACTTATACCCCAGTAGAAGAGTGTGTGTTTAGCATCTCTGAAAACCCTCCAGCTGCTATAGTTAGTTTCATTTTGTTAATCTAAGTACAGAGAATATGTTTTTCTTTAGTGTGGTACATTCAAGCTGTTTTCTAAAAAAGCATGATAGCTGTTAACCTCTAGAAGAGAGCAATGATTTTACACGACAGTTGGATTGTGCATGTTACTATGGTGAAGGTTGTTAGTTTTTAAAAAGTCAAGTCTTTATTTCATATCCAATGCAAATTATACACAGTGACTCATATCAGAATTTTGTGGTAAAATCAACTTAGTGTATGCATACATAATTCTATTTTTATTTACTCACGACTGGACCTTCCAACATTAAGAGAGCATATCCCTCTTCAAAGATTTCACTGCTGCAATAGGCCTAGATGGACAAACAGAGCCCAGTGCCCACTCTTCTGTAATTTGATGACAGCCTTTTCAATGGGGTAAGAAAAAGCCACTTTCAGGAAAGCTGGTGTATTACTGCAGTCAATTATGCTCTGATTATTTTGAATTAGTGCTTGGAAAAAACCCTTCCCATCTTTTAATAACAGGATGGGAAAAACTTCAAGCAGTCTTGTCCAAATGCTAATAAAATTAGATTAGCAGAAAGACAAAATAGCAGGGAATGATGAACATCTGGCACAACAGGACATCCCAACACCCAATGTTATCTTGAAGGGCACGGAAAATCACAGTAGCAAGAAGGTGATTTATAAGCTGGGAAACCAAAAGTGATTGTTTAATATAAAATTTCGTAGCATACAAGTAGAATCAACAAAGGCCCTGCCCGTCAAAACAACTGCCAATTTATTGCTATCTGAGGGACATATTTCAGTGCAGACTGAAGGAGTTATGTATGTTAAGTTCCTGTGCACTGAGATGGGAATGGGTGGTTGTCAGAGCAAGGGGAGCAAAGTGCCTTATAAAACTAGACCAGGGGAGTCTCATCACAACAAACTGCAATGGCCAAGGGACTTCCAGCCCCTGGGAGCAGCAATCTGACCCAGCTTTATGCAACCCCTTGGTGGGTGAAGATGTTTCCCAATATCCTTCCCTCCCCACTGCCAGAGCCTGGATCATGTCCCATATTCATATCATTTGTGGGAGGAAGAGAAGCTTGTTCTCAAAGGACACCATGGGGCCATGAAACCTCCATGTGTTTAGTACAGGAAAAGATCCTCGCTAAAGATGATTCTAGCTGTTACTGAGAGAGAAAAATACATTTTAGCAGCTCATTTGCATTTCATTTTGAACCTACATAATCACCACTCGGTTATGTCCCTTCAAATCCCAGCTAGCATTAAAAGGACCTATGGTATAATTTAAAAACTATAATTGCAAAATGTTAGAATAAAAATTGTTTGATAAGGGCGTTGCAAATCAGAGTGGAAGCATCAACTGTATCAAACCAAGAGTAGCTGTCGGGCTTTATCTGCTAGTACAGCATCTAGCACTAGGGGGATGCGGCACTGTTGCTTTTTAGGTGCTAGCCTTGCATAAATATTAGGTAATAATAATGCCTTCCAAGAACAGGAGAAAAACTGCCACATGCTCTTCACCTCACCTCTGCTTGTAAAAATAAAATATAACCTGTAATTTGAATCTTTCCCCTGGATTGCACTTCTTGAGAGTTGCTACACAGCTTAGCATGCTGCGGCAGCGCGGTGCAATGGCACCGCTGAGAGTGAAGAGCAACAAGTGAGGACTTTAATCCCTTGTCCTGGTGATAGCTCTGCTTGATGGTCAAATACAGCAGTACCTGAAACCTCCTCTTTTGGAACTGCAGATGACAGTTTATTCTAGATGCATGGGTGTTTCCACGACTGTTAGACAAAATTAGGAAAGGTATATATTCATGTTCACCTCCAACATCAGCTGGGTGAATTCTTCATTGCTGAGAAATGAAGGCTTCCAGTCCTGCTGAATTTCAGAAATCTCCGTCTGTGCTGAGACTTCTAGACAAATAAAACATTTACATCTTTAAAATTTAAATTAACTTCTATCTTGCAATAACAAATATGAATTGCTATGAAAAGAGAAAAATCACCTTTACATTCAAAAATTGCAGTTTTCAAGCATGGGTTTTGCATACAGAGACAGTAATAACTATTTCAACCGGCCCATATCTTGAAATGTTTTCCTCATTTTTTACTCAGGTCAACTTGTACTGACTTCAGTGGGAGTCTGTATTCACAAGGCCATTGGCCTCAAGCCGCATTACTGGGGTATTAATCAAAAGATAAAACCACTTTGCATGAAATTAAAATCAAGGCAAGTATTAACACGTGTCAAACTGCTATTTACAATTTTCCAGTTTCAAAATTATGATTCTGGAGAGGGTTCAGCCTACAGCTTCTGTGACAAAGAGGGAGCAGCAAGAAAACTTCTTCAGAGGAGCCCCAAAGGGGGATGACCCCGAACAGCAGAGCTCTTGCTTTGTTTTCCAAAATGCGAGAGAAACAGGAGCATTTGCAGCAGCTTTACACTGTTGCTACTGCCACCACTGCCTCTTGTGCCTACCTCCAGCCCCACTGTGCAGGGCAGCCCAGGAGAGGGAACCAGCCTCTCATCCCAAATCCTGTCTGGAGGGCAGGGTCTCCTGTGCTGTCAGCCCGTGAGACACCAAAGGGTGGTCTGCCCTGTTGTTGGCCAATGCTGACCCCACAGCAGCCTGCAGAGGGCTCGCTCCCTGAGGGCTTTCCGTGAAGGGGTGCAGGCACACTGGGGTAACAAGTCACAACTTTGCACTGAAACTGGGGACCATACTGGGGGTAGCTGTTTCCATTGGAAAACAGTCACTGATGTTAGCTCTGCCTTAGTAAGACAGGGTTATGGGGGACAGATCTTAGAATTTAGAGAGACTAGAGCTGGTTTAGTTAGCTGCTCGCTCTGCTTCTCTAAGAGTGCTTCCTCACTCAGCTCTAGTAGTGAGGGAACAGTGAGCACAGACTGTCTTCTCCTTTCAGCACTGCCTGCTAATTAATCCTACTGATTAACACTTCCAGAGCATGTAACACCCAATGCTCCATATTCAGAGCACATAGGCAAACTGGCCACAGAAATGCAAATGGATAAATGATACTAAAGACACTTATATGAGTGCCTGTGCATTTTGTCACCTCGAAAGAAATCAAAACCTCCGTTCAGGCTGTATTAGTGGAGATGCAGACGCCTGCTTTTACCAGCTCGTTTGACTCACTTTCTGCACTGCTGGGGGCTGTCACTGGTAGCACAGCAGCTCTCCACAGCTCCCACAGTTTTACACAGAGGTTTGAAAACCAGACTAAGGAAAAAGAGTCCATCAGATTTTTATTAAATAGTTTCAGAATATAGGATACTTTCAGCAGATCTGTAGCTTGGAAAAGCTAATGTACATGAAACGGCGACTGTTGGAAGAATTACTTGAGATTTGGGAGATTCTGTGGATTATGAAGAAGGAGACTGTTTATGAAGGGAAAAATCTGAAAACTGACCTCCTCCTCCATTATGACTAAAATCTTGGTTTAGCCCACTAAATGAAAGGGAAATACGATTGAATAAACCAGATCCAAAGTACATGGAAGATAATCAACATTTTTAAATGCTGATGCTTTGTATTATATTGTGTGACTACTAATCTGGTTTAAAAATAGATAACATTTGCTTTTTTTAGCAAGTGCACAAAAACCAGTCACATTTTGACCCAATTGCTGTGGAAGGATTTGTGACTGTTAGCTTTCTTTTACCTAGTTGTTCTTCAAGAAAAAGTGCCTTTTGGAGTAAATTATTTGGGCCATCAGCTACATCTATCCACACTTATTCAAACCTTGTGTGATTGTTCTTTGCTTGGCTTTATATTTGAACATATGCACATCCTCCTTTACTCTGCCTTGGGCAGCTAAAAAGAAAAGATATATTATTACTGTAATTTTAAAAAAAATTATATACAATTATTAAACTTTGTCCTAGTTGTCCCTTCCTGTATAAAACCATAGGTTAATGGTTGGACTTAATGGTCTTAAAGGTCTTTTCCAACTTCAAAACAATTCTATCTTGTCTGTGGCAAAAATTCATTTAAGGACAAACTGCACTCTAACAACAGAATCATTGTAATTATTTCCTCAGTAATATTGACATTTGTGACTCCATTATGTTGGGAGTCATGATTATAGGAGTTTTTATAGTGTTTTCTGTTTCACCCAGAGTTCTCCAGGGAGTGCAGGAGGGAGGTGATGCATGAGCAAAGGTGAGTCAGGTGATGTGGTGCATCAGCTCGTGAGACCCCTTTCTGCTTTGTGGGGCCCAGGCCATTCCTCACAGTCACACATCGAAGACTCTTCCTCACAGGGGCATAGCAAGAGAGCCCCATTTTAAACCAGTGCCCTGATTTATAAGGGAGAACTGTTTCAACTGACTGCTGCTGGTGGATGTCCATACATCTGGAAGGCCACAGTGCACATTCCTCTCACTCAGTAGAAAATGGACCAAACAGACTAGATCAGCAAGGTCAGAAATCTCCTCTGCCCTCTGTGAAGGTTCATTTCTAAGGGACCTGTCAATGCTGGAGCAATTTAAAAAATAAACTCCTGGCTTTCCGAGGCTGAGCTTTTTTAGTGCAACTGGATGCTGTGCAAATGTGATGTAGCTTCTGCTTTGTGCAAACAGGGTGAAGCATGTCAGCTGTCTGTGGATGCAGTTTGCTGAAGCCAACTTCAAAAACTGAGGTGCTTTCTGTTCTGAGTTTTCTGCTCAATGTGGAAAATTGAGTCCTACACAGTCCACTGAGGAGCAGGGGTAATGAACAGATTGCTTCCCTGCATTTATCTGCAGAGAAGCTGGGGTGAATGCTTTGTTCCTCTGCTCAGAATATTGCAAATTTCAAGGAAGGGAATCTTCCCTCTGGCCCCAAATCTCTCTTGCTCAAAGCATCTCTCTTCTTCATGTGTGCTGCAGGGCACTGCTACCCTCTTCCCCTTGGTGCCTGCCATTCGCCCCCTTCTCTAGCAGGCTGAGAATCATCTTCAACTAAAGAGCAAACAAGAAGATGGATTTGGGCAACACAGTGTTTAGAAATTATCTTTCTTGATGCGACAGAAAAAAACCCAAACACCTTATGTTGGCACTTTTAGGTCACTCAAGCCATTCTGATAATCACTGAAGGAAACAGGATATTATAGTAACTGTCTAGCAAATGCATGAAGAGCTGCAGTAAATCTTACCATTGTGTTTCTGCAGAAAGCCAATGACTTTTTCCAGCACAGTAGTTTTGTCCATTTTGCGAGTGTTGCCTGGAAGCATGGAGCTGAGCTCTTTGATGAGAACATTGAACTGATCGCGCCTCTTCTTCTCAGACTTGTTACGTGAAGCCCTGTAGACAGGGGAAAAGAAAAAAAAGGATGAGCAGACCAAGAGGAAAAATGATCATGTACCTGCTCTTTGTAATGTAGACACAAAGAAATTAGCTTGCTGCATCCCTCAGCATGTGAAGACTGACACTGGATTCCAGCAAAATTGCAGAGGAAGTAGGAAACAGAAGTTCCCACCTCCTGTTCTTGCCTTTGAGCCACCTTTGGTATCCACTGGGGAGATGGAGGCTCTGCTCGCCCTTCTGTGCTGCCTCTGGACACTCTGGTTGAGCCTGTCAGATTAGCATTGAGCCTGTAGTTGAAGGAGCTCTGCACATCTCCTAGATATATGTAGGATCTTGAAAGTTCATGCAGCCTCTGAAGAGGCACTCAGAATGAGAAGAAATAGGAATACTGTAACAACAGTAAACTTGTTCATAAAGAAGACTGGGGAGTGGATCATAGCCATCTGTGCAGTCCTAACCGAAGAGAGGGACCCCAGTCCTGCAGCCATTGCACTGGAGCTGGATTCACCTAGAGGGACCTCCCGCTCCGGTCACAGGTGGTCTGCCCACCTCCAGGCTGACAGAGAAGAATCAGGTTGTTGTGTTCCAGTCATTAAGATCAAGGACCTGACTAGAAGTTGCTGCAGTTCCCATCTAGTTCATATGCCACCTTGTTCATTCTCCTTTCCAAGGTCATATGGGTAAGCAGGACAGAGAGCATCAGCATGGCTCACCCCAGCAAAGACTAGAGCTGAGGCTAGGATGTCTTCCCAGATCTGGGGTCTCAGAAGTGCCAGAAGTGCTTGCTCTTAATCTCTGTGTGCCACTAGGAAAATCACTTAATATCATGGTGCCCTGAGTCTTTAGGTGTAAAACAAAGACTCTACAGCTTTCTTCACCAGTCTTGTCTGTTTAGCTCACAGACTCGTCAAAGAGAGTCTGTTTCTACTGCTGCATTATAAGAGCTCACAGGAAAAAAAGAATCTGATTTCATTTGGGGTGTTTTGGCACCATCATGATACTATCATTAAGGCAGTTGATAATCTTTTCAGCATGTACACTTAGGGGTTTTTTTTAATTACATGTCACTCTATACCCAAACAAGTGTTTTCTGAATTGTTCCAATGAATACCACAATAGTCTGACTTGGAGGTTATCACCTGGACTTCTCTGGCCATGTGAAAATAGAAATAAATATAACCCAGAAGGTTTGTTTTTCTGAAAGGTCCTCAAGCAGACAAGATTTGCCTCGTCAATTATGTAAAGATCTAAAAATCTGGTTACATGTAGACAGGAAAGAAAAGCCAAGAGGCTGGTTCTCTGGATTTCTCGGTCCCAGCTAACTATGCTGTGCCTCATAAGCAGCTCTGGATCCACACTGCTGAAAATCAGAGAAGAATTTAGCCCAGCATCTACATCCCCTCCAAGGACCAGAATGGCAATAAACATTTTCTGCAGAGAAATCACTACAGAGGCTTCTGGATGTTACTACTGACAGAAGGGTAATTTTTGTTTGTCTTGCTCTCAACCCTGAACACTCTCGGAGATACACTGGATAGAAGCCAACGCTTGATTATTTTACAGCTTTGAACACAAGAGATTGGGTGGATACTGCCTGACTGATTTCAGCCTGTTCTTATTACAGTGCAAAAGGCTGTCAGAACAAGATGTGAAAACCTCCAGTCTTATCCTATTTCTCTACAGTTCAAGGGGACATTAAGAATATCAACACTTTAGTTCCTCATAATTCAATCCCCAGTTCATTTTAAGCTTAAAGAGTCCAGATTTCCCTGAAAATAAAATAAACCACCAACTGTCGATAGGGAAAGTGGTGCTTTAAAAAAAATAAAAAAATGCCTTGACAAAAATATAAAGTATCTATTTTTAAGACTTGACATTTTATTCACAAAGGAAATATAAAAACTTCTCTAGTGGAAATAACTCTACCAAGATCTGAATCGATGATTACAGTAAAATTTTGAAAAGAAAAAAAAAATAAAAATTGGGAAAAAAAGATAAAAACTATCCCTGCACAATTGAAAATATTTTGTTTAGTATAGTTATAAATGTATTAAATAAGACCATTTTCATCACTTCCCTTTGAAGATTATTTCCTAGACTTGCTTACTTCACTGCTAGGGCATACAATTACAGTAAGCTCAAACAACCTCTGTCTTAATTCCATACTATTTGTCCCAGTTTTCCTTCTTCCTTGCTACTCCCAAAAAGATTACAGCATATTCAAGAGGAAGAAGGAGCCACAGTATGAATAAAATCAGGACTTTCAGTAATACAGCTAAAGGCAATACAGGACAGCCTGAATTCAGAATGGTCAAAATCACCAATTTGACATGTGTTATAAACAGCCATTTTTGTTCTCTTACATATTTGCTACTTGTTCTCTTAAAGAGAGACGGATATGACTGACTAGGAGCCACTACATTTTGCTGATTTACAATGAAATGTGACTGTACATTAAATTTTGTATTTCTTTTTACTGTCCAGTGTAGTATGTTATATATGCATTAATGCAAGTAACTGTACCACATACCTTCATTCAGATTCTTAAATTTACTTTTTATTTCAGTGGAAAATGGCAGGTGGTAGTCTTCATGATTAAGCACTTTCTCATGGTTCACTTCAAGCTGGTTTTGGTTGGAATTTGGAATTCAACTGAATTGTAAAAAAAGTATTTAAAATTATTTACTATTAAAGCAAACCGAAAGAAAAGCAAATAGAGAAAAAAGTGCACAAAGCACGCTTTTTGTTTAGAATTAATAAATCCATAAAATAAAATAAACCTCACCTAGCATCAAAGAACTGAAAATGAAATTATGGTTTCTGATCTCCAGAAGCTCAGAAGACCTCACATAGGTCTTCAGTGCTCCCAAGTGTGGTGCCACATATCCACATTTTAGTTCTCAGGTCTTTGGAGTGGAGCTCTGCCTTCGGGAGTCAGATGATGCAGAATGGGTCTCAATTTAACCAGTGTCCTAAAGGAAGAGCTATATATCTTGGCCAAATACTAACAGTTGGCACAAGGGTGGGAGTGCAAGTGCCTCTTTTCAGGAGAGGATGGATCCCCTTTTCATGTCTGTATAATACAAACCGTATGTGCCTAATGCATTGCAGCAGATATAAATGGTGTGTCTGTGTATTTCTAACCTGAGAAACCCAGCTCCTGGCTTGAGTCCACCCCCGTAGACATAAGATTCAAAAATTTTCAGTCTCACCTACTTTTAACTGAGAAAATGAGAGAACAATTTTCTTGGCTTTTTTTATCCTCTCTCGTGTTTCTCAGCACTGAGACACCCAGTCCTTACACCGAATAGAAGAAAACAAAGAAAGCATTTCTCCTATGGCATGGGACAGGTGAGAGTCCTCAGTTTTCAACACATGGCAGCAAAATGCCCATCAAATGGCTTCTCCAGAGTTTGACTTTCTTTAAAGCTTTGGAAGAAAACCTGTAGCTTTTAAATGAATCTGAACGGTTTTAATATAATGTATTAACTTTAGACCTTCATGAAGCCTCTCATGATTTCAAACTTCATTTCAAATCTAGCTTTATTTCTAAAAAGCTACATGTACTTAAATTACAATTTAAAGAAGCAATTTCCTTTCTTCATTTTCAAAGTTATTATTTGTTTTATGCACCCTGATAGAGGCCTGCCCCAAGGTATGACAAAAATTTCCCTCTGGGAACAAACAGCATGAAAGCCATACCAGATGGTGATGACAATCACTGATAGTGAGGATACGTGTTATCCTATTTTTTTCATATATTCACTTGTTTAATGCATTTTTTTTTTATTAAACAATTAACACACAAATATCTTGAAGATAATCAGGCCTTAAGAAGGTGAAGTGGTGCTGCAAGGTGGGCTCCCTTCTGCACCCTCTCCAAATGGGAGCAAAGGGGAACAGCTGAGCTTGGCTGCAGCCCGTGCTGACCTATATTGGTGAGAAAAAGCTGCAGGGAGGGAAAGAAGCGGAGAAGGAATCAAAAGAGATGAAACTGGATCAACTGCTTGTGCCTGGACTGGAAATACTCTCATTAGAGGGAACCAAGGGGAAAAATGTGGGCAACCCACAGCCCTCTCTAAAGTAATTAAACTGCAGGCTGCGGCATTGATAACCTCGAATGCTTCCAAACCGCTTTTCTGCAGATGTCAGTCAGCTCTGACAGTTATTAAGAGTTTTATTGCCATAGGTCTTCTGCCTTGAAACACCCCTTTTCTCTCCCCACAAAGGGTTTACAACAAATTCCCGCCAACTAGGACTTGACTGAGTGCAGGATATGTGTGAATATAGGTTTGTGCCAGTTTAGGGCTGACTTTTCATGGTCTTTTTCTGCTCTGAAGGTAACTTCTGGGTGTTTTCATTACTGTGAGATAGGCACTGATGAATAAAGGACCATCCTAATAGGAAAAAACCCCCCACTCTTTCAGTTCTTTTTCTTTTGCAAAATGTATTAAAAAAAAACCAACACATTTTTGTACACTTGGAAAGCTCAGATGATGTATTATAGAGGCAGGAGTACGTTGTTGGTGGTTCAGTTCTGATGTTCTGCAGTAATGTGAAGAAAACGATCAATGCCTCGGCTTTTTTAAATTTTCCACAGGAAACACTGCTACATTATTTTCTTCTTACAGGGCAGCCAAGAGTAGGAGTCTGTGAGATGGCAGTTTTTCAAGTTGTGCTTGACTGTATTTTACTCTCTCTCTCTTTGATTAATTGATTATGGATAAAACAGCTTCTGCAGCAACAAACAGTATAAAGCTCATCACAGAGAATTATAAAAGAAAAGGTGCTCACCTCTTTGCTCTGTCTTTCTCATCTTCATCCATTAGATTGTCTAAGCAGTTTTTTCTGTTGAAGGAATGTGAGAATCATTATGAATTGTCATTTTGTTAGCTCTACTTGCAGGTTAATCTCACAGTCGCTCTATTTCATTTTAATAACAGAGTGATGATATCCAGGTCAGATAAATGTGTCAGCAGTGCTTTATGCCACAGTCCCTGATTTTAGGAAACATCCATTGTGGGTAATGTTATTCCTGAGCATTACGCTAGCCTTAGGGCTTTAGTCAGGGATCAAGGCTCCCAGGCACCACAGAGTGCATCAGCACAGTACAAAACCAGCCACTTCTTTGGGATTTTTTCATATGGAGGTAACTCTCTGCAAACCTGTAGGCTGAATGAACCCTGGGGCCTGTCCAAATTGAAAAGGCATTTTCAGTGTTCCCACATTCCCCTCAAAACAATCTCCACTGCAAGAGTCAGCATCACTGATGCCTTTGACTACCAAGGGAGATCTTCCTACTGGGAGGCTCTTCGTCCTCCTCTGTGGGCCCTTTCCCAAAGCCGAAAGGGATGGTAGTAACTCTTCTGAATTACACCCAAAATTCAAAGTCTCCTCATAAATCCCGCCAGAATGTGGTGACCTGCAGTCAGTTTTGTAGTCCAATTGCTCCACCAGTTTGAGCTGTAAAGAGAAAGTACTCTGAGCACAAGGTATGTCCATAAAGCCACAGAGTAAAAAACGGTAAATTAAGTAAATTTGTGTAGGCAAGGCAAAGGGAAAAATACAAGAGTGGTCCTGCTAAAGACTGAGTGCCTCAGAAACACTTGTCACCAGTACACTGCCCACTCTCCTTTGCTCCAGGGGCCTTATAAAAAAAGTGATGCTTCAGCTGTAACCACTTCAGGTTGAGAAAGAAGCTCTGTGCTGCTGCAGCCTCTCATGGCACCCATATTGGGTACAAAAGCCACATGGTGCTGCATCCCACAAAAATATTTTCTGTAACAGCAGCAAAATGCTGGTACAAACCCTGGATATTGTCAAAGCATCATTTTCAAAGCAGCGGCATAATGACAGTCAATGATAACACTCCTTTTCAGCAATCAATGTTTCTCATTTAATGAGTCCTCAACATGTAAGACATGAATAAAACTGGAAGGGGGCGGAGGGAATTTAATTGCTTGGCTTTATTTAAGCCCATGTTATTTTCCACATATGAGTCACAGATAAATTTGCCTGTTTAAAGAATATTTTATGAAGAAACAGGAGTGAAAACTTATTGATAGCAAGAACAGTGGATAAATTCCTTCCTTCTGCTACTAGTTCTCTTAAAGCAATATTCTGCCTGGTCGTTACTCAAGAGTTAGCTAAGAAAACAAAACTACCCTGTAACTTTTTATCAAATGAGTTATGAGGAATTAAAGCTGGGGGTCACTGATTGGAGGATAAAGCTACTACTTCACAGCTCATTGATGGACAAGCATAAAGAGGAAATATGAAGGCCAAAGGACTGGGTTTTTTAGTAATAACTGGCAAATTTAAGTTGCTGAATTCTATTATACAGAACAAAATAACAAACAATATCATGTAGTTTTTAGATTTTTTTTCTGGCTATTTATTTGGACTTGCAAAACAGCCAAGTCAGCCATATCATAATCTGTATTTTGGAACAGGAAAATTTATAGGCCCAGCTAAATTTTATTTATCAGTGTTTAACAAATAATTTAGGTGCTTATTTGTTCAGTTCCGTAATGACTGCTATCCCAACAAGTGCGTTTTCAACTAATTCAGGCTAAAATGTAGCGACAATATTCAGTTTTGTTGTTATGTGATCGCTTATTGCAACTGAAATGTTCACACACACTATTCAAGAATACAGAAGGCATCGCTAATATGGCAAGGGTTAGCATTTAGGATTTTGCAGACTTTCATTGCTAAACCTTCACTCAGAATCATAGAATGTTACGGTCCCTTCTTTAAAGGAAGGGACCTTAAAGATCCCCTAGTTCCAAAGGAGTGGGGGGGTACACCTCCCACTAGACCAGGTTGCTCAAGGCCTTACCAATCTGGCCTTGAATACTGCCAGGGCTGGGGCATCCACAACCTCACTGGGCAACCTGTTTCTGTGCCTCACCACCCTCACAGCACAGCACAAAATGCCCTGTAGCATGCACCCCTATTGAATCTAGGGTATTACAAGCAAAATGGGCAGTGCCAGCAAAAGAAGTTGCTCTCCCTGAATCCCTAAAGGTCTTCCTCTGCTGCACTGCAGCCTCCTCTGGTTTCCCAAGAGAAAGCAGAAATATGGGGACAAGAGCCCTGAGTGGCTGTGAGGAAGGATGGGAATGGGTGAGGCAGTCAGCATCAGTGTTGCTCAGCTCCAGCTGTTTAGGAGAAGCGCAATGTACCTAATGGAAAGGGTTGTCCTACAGCTGTACCCTGTAAACCATCAAGAAATTACACTGCCAGGAAGCCTCTTCTCTTGAGAGAGAGCAACAGATCTAAGTGGTCTGTTCTGCCAAGGATATGGCTAGATCTGTAAAACAACTCATGGCCAGCTTCCATTAAACAAGGTTTCTCACTGACTGACATGAAATTCTGGACCTGCTGTGCTGTTGCTAGTGTGAGACAATTTCTAATTGTCATTTTGCTTCTGTTTGCTCACATGGCAAAATTTCAAGAGCATCATAAGCATTGCTAACAGGGTTTGCCAGTACATATGTACCATACGAGATTAAAACTGTTCTCAATAAAATAGATACATCAGAGTATACTAGTGTTGCAAACTGATATTGCCATCCCTCTCCTGAGCCCCACCAGAAGCTGGCTTACACCTTGATGGACCCATGGCATAGAGCTTAAATATGTGCTTAGTGGAACCTGCTTGCTTTATGTTATCCTCCTAGTCCCTCAGCTGGGAAGGTCCCTAATTGCAAACCAGAAATCTACTGTCTCATCCCAGTCAGTGCCTGGTTTAGGAGGAAATTCCAGCTCACGGCAATGATGGAGGGCAGTAAACACCATGGCTCTGTGCCATAGCTCCCCTTCAGAGAAGTGACATAAAAAAAAACAAGTGGCCTAAGGATTTCTCAAAATTTGAAGAATCCTTTCATGCTAACAAAGACAATTTGTAAACCTATGGGTAACAACATCACATGATGCAACTCCTGCTGACAGAGTATTTAACAGTGACAGTTATACTGGAGCTTCACTGTAACATCGTTATCATCAAGGAGTGATGATAGCTCAAAAAGATGGAAACCACCTGGAAAAAGGAGGAGAAAGCTCGCATACTCCCATTGGGGGGGTACTCAGACAAACATACAGAAAGATGCATACCTACAAGTGGGGAAGAGTGGCATTCTGGAAACAAAAGACTGGCTAAAACTGTTAACCATGTACCTCTGGCTTAGTTATTAGAAGGAGAATTATAGCACAAACATCCCCACCACATTCATACAATGAGTAGTTGCTTGGGAAAAAAGTAGTTCAGGCAGAGCACCAGCCTGCTTCAGAAGAGAGGTTGCACATGTTTATTTTGATACAGTCTATTCCCAGTGGACACAGGGCTTGCACTATAAAAATTCATCTAGCACTGATCACCTTATCCTGTGCTAGAAACATTTATTTTAGTGAGCTAAACTACTACTCTTCTGTTCTGGTGAGGTTGGTTTCTCTCCTTTCTGTCCTACTGCTCATAAGGATATTCTATTCACACTCAAATGTAAGTAATCAGCTGTTGATTTCCCACTAACTTGCCACAAGGCCAACTAATAGTTCCTACAAATCAGCCTGATATTTAATGAGAATTTTTAATCATAGTTGTTCAACTCAGCTGAATTAAATCAGAGATGTAAATTTCTCTCAGAGGTCCTGGGATGTGCCTGGGGAAGCCTGGTGGGAAATCACAGTGCTTGTGCTCCTCTGGCCCTTATGTCAGGCAGCCCAAACAAAAAAATAGGCTTTTTGTCCCCTTCCCTCTCTGGCAGGGTGGGGTGTTTGCCTCCATCACACCATCGACCTGCTTGGGTATTCAACCACTTGTCCTGTACAGGGTATGCTCAGCCCTGGGGAGAGGGGGGGTTCCCACCACACCCTGCTGCTGCTTCCCACCCACTACAGATGTACCTGAGCTTTAGACCTTAGGCCTCACCCTTAGACCACTTAGGATGCTGGTACAATACAACCATCCTAAGTGAAGACGATAATATTGCTCTTGGAGAACAACCCTCTCAAACAGAGAGGATGGGCAAGGGTTGTACGGAAAATTGGACGAAAAACTGGCATGAAACATCTTGAATTACCTTCTGATCTTCGCAATAACTGTCACCCTTGTAAAAGCTGAAGGAAAAGAGCAACAGAGTGTAGGGTAGACATGCTCCCGTACCTTCCAGACACATTGCTCAGCTGCCAGGGCCCATCTCTGCTCAGTGTTGCATCTGTGCTGCCTCAACAGGGAGCTACTCTTGTCCCCTCTTCGAAGGCGAGGAATGAGGCCAGCGAAGAGCTCAGCGTTATAAAGGAGACACATGGGTATGTTTGGTGGGGTTCAGGAGTTAAAGGCCAGATGCAGCCATGCATGGCATCCTGTGTATAGTGAATAGGTTCCAAGACATAGTAAGAAGGCACCAAAAGGGAGTACAGTCTCTGGACATGAGCCAGGGGCACAGTTTCTGGACACACAGTAGCATAGGGGACAGTGTGGCTTGGTCACTGTGCTGGCACCACTGCCAGCCTGGCACGATGAACAAGGTCTGATAGGCACCGTGGTTGGTCAGTGGTGGTGTCCCATGGGTGTTCATGCTGGGAAGCACCTCTGTGGACAGGAGCTCTACCTGCTTTGTCTCAGCTAAGCAGAGCTCTGAAATGAAACATGCTAGCAAGTAAAGTATTTCCCTCCCAAGCCTTGGTGGGAGGCAAAGAGAAAGATTAGCAAATGGGAAGCTGTAGGAAAGGTCCTATGGTGACAGGCAAGAAGTGACTAGCTGACCATTTAAATGCCTTGTTCCAAGTTTCTGTGATGTGGATGAAGCACTTGGATATCCCACCACGAAGGCTATGGCATG